AGTTAGAATACTGCGCCCAGTTCTGGGCACTACACTATAGGAAGGATGTTAAGGCATTGGAAAGGGTACAGAGGAGATTTACAAGAATGGTACCAGGAATGAGGGACCTTGAATGAGGGACACACATACCGAGTGCAGTAAAAGAGAGAGAAACACACACCCAGTGCAGTAACAGAGAGACATAAATACACGCACTGAGTGCAGTGAAGGAGACACACACACCCACAGAATGCAGTAACAGACAGACAGACACACTTAACGAATGCAGTTACAGAGAGAGAGACATACACACATAATGACTGTGGTAACAGAGAGACACAAATACACACACAGAGTGCAGTAAAGGAAAGCGAGAGTCACACACACCGGGTGCAGTTACAGAGAGATAGAGACACACACTGAGTGCAGGAACGGAGAGAGAGACACCCACACCGAGAGCAGTAACACCCACACCCACACCGAGAGCAGTAACACCCACACCCACACCGAGAGCAGTAACACCCACACCCACACCGAGAGCAGTAACACCCACACCCACACCGAGAGCAGTAACACCCACACCCACACCGAGAGCAGTAACACACACCCACACCCACACCGAGAGCAGTAACACACACCCACACCCACACCGAGAGCAGTAACAGACACTCAGTGCTATGTCGGGCGCTGTCACTCTGAGTTCCGGGGCCCTGATACCTGTGGTGGGTTTAGGCACTTGGAAAGTGAGTACGGGCTGTACTTGCGGGAGGATGTCGTGTGTGTACAGTGTGTGTACAGTGTACAGTGTGTGTACAGTGACTGGTGGGGGCGGAGACCCTCAGGGCCGCAGCCTCGGACCTGCCGCTTCGAGAAGCTTCTGAGAGAACAGGAGAGGATCACACACCCGCGGCCAGAAACAGGCACAGAGGGGGGGGGGCAGGGAGAGTGAGGGGAGAGGGGAGAGTGAGGGGAGAGGGGAGAGTGAGGGGAGAGTGAGGGCAGAGTGAGGGAGAGTGAGGGGAGAGGGGGGGAGAGGGGGGGAGAGAGAGGGGAGAGTGAGGGGAGAGGGGAGAGGGGGGGAGAGTGAGGGGAGAGGGGGGGGAGAGGGAGGGGAGGGGGGGGAGAGGGAGGGGAGAGGGGAGAGGGAGGGGAGAGTGAGGAGAGAGGGGAGAGTGAGAGGGGAGAGAGGGGAGAGTGAGAGGGGAGAGGGGAGGGAGGAGGGGGAGAGTGAGGGGAGAGGGGGGAGAGGGAGGGGAGGGGAGAGTGAGGGGAGAGGGAGGGGAGGGGAGAGGGGAGAGTGAGGGGGAGAGGGGAGAGTGAGGGGGAGGGGGGAGAGGGAGGGGAGAGTGAGGGGAGAGGGAGGGAGGGGAGAGTGAGGGAGAGGAGGGGAGGGGGAGTGTGGGGAGAGTGAGGGGCTGGGAAGAGAGTGCGGGGGGGGTGGGGAGGATAAACCCGGGCACTACAGGCCAGTCAAGTCAGCTTAATGTCAGTAGTGGGGAACCTTCTAGAGACTATAATCCAGGACAAATTAAATTTTCACTTAGAAAAGTATGGGTTAATAAAGGACAGCCAACACGGATTTGTTAAAGGCAAATCATGTACCAAACCTGTTAGTGTTTTTTGATGAAGTAACGGAGATGGTGGAAGAAGGTAGTGCAATTGATGTAGTTTATATGGATTTTCAAATGGTGTTTGATAAAGTGCCATGTAAGAGACTTGTAAGCAAATAGAAGCCCAAGGTATTAAAGGGACAGTGGCAGCGGATACAGAACTGGCTGGGAGACAGAACGCAGAGAGTGGTGGTGAATGGTTGTTCTTGTGACTGTAGGAAAATGTGCAGTGGTGTCACCAGGGGTTGGTATTGGGACCCCTGCTGTTTTCTGATCTATATAAATAACCTGGACCTGGCAAGGGAGTACAATTTCCAAGTTTGCAGATGATACTACTCTAGGAAAAGTAGTAAACAGTGATGAGGCTAGTAGCAGACTGCAAGAGGGCGTAGACAGACTGGTGAAATGGGCAGACGTGTAGCAGATGAAGTTTAATATAATAATAATAATTATTGCATTTGATATAGCGCTTTTCACGTCTTTTCGACGTCTCAAAGCACTTCACAGAAGAGACTGTAAAGTGATTTGACCGTATATTTGTGGGCGAAACGCGGCAGCAATGTCCCACAAACAGTCGTGGATTGAAAATGACCAATTTATTATTGTTTTGTTTTGGAGGGATTATTATTAGGCTCTGTGTGGAGTAAGGAAACTTGCCCAAGGTTTTGCCCTGCCTGGAATTGAACCCAGGTGTCTCGTTTGCAAGGCGAGTGCTCTAACCACTGAGCTACAGGACTCCACGGAGTAATGTGGAAAAATGCATAGTGATGCATAGTGATGCATTTTGAAGGAATAGAGAGACCTGGGGGTTCCTGTAAGTAAATCTTTCAAGGTGGCAGCTGTTAAAAAAGCATATGTGATACTAGGTTTTATAAATAGGGGCATAAAATACAAAAGTCAGGAAGTTATGATAAACCTTTATAAAACATTGGTTAGGCCTCAGCTACAGTCCTGCATTCTGTTCTGGACACCACACTTTAGGAAGGATGTCAAGGCATTGGAGAGGGTGCAAAGGACATTTACCAGGATGGTATCAGGAATGAGGGACTTCAGTTATTAGAGGATAGAGAAGCTAGGATTATACTGCTTGGAGAAGTGAAGGTTAAGGGGAGACTTAATAAAAGTTTTCAAAATTATGAGAGGATTCGATAAGATGAATAAGGAGAAACTGTTTCCACTGGCGGGTGGGTTGGTAACCTGAGGACACTGATTTAAAATAGTTGTTAAAAGAAACAGAGGGGAGGTGAGGACAATTGCTTTTACACAGCGAGTTGTTCGTGTCTGGAATGCATTGCCTGAAAGGGTGGTGGAAGCTGATTCGAAAACAACTTCCATCCACACCTTCAAGAGTGAAGTTGATAGATTTTTGGTAGGTTGGTATTAAGGGATATGGGGAGAAAGCAGGAAATTGAAATTGAAAGGATTTTTTGAGGTACAGATCAGCCATGATCTAATTAAATGGCAGAACAGGTTCAAAGGGTTGCATGGCCTACTCCTGTTCCTATGTTCCTAACTTTTAAAAGAGTAGATAATTACTTGTGGAGGACAAGTTTGCAGAGCTATGGGGGAGAGCGCGGGGAAGTGGGATTGATTTTCTTAGTTCTTTTCAAAGAGTCGACACAGACAAGATGGGCTGAATGGTCTCCTTCTGTGCTGTATAATTCTATAATTCTATGATACAAGTATATGCTAAATGACAATTTTTTTTAAAGAAGAGCAGAGACACCTGGGATTAAAATGAAAAGGACCTGGGTGTCCTGATTGACAATAAATTGAAGCTATTGCAACAATGATCGGAAGCAGTGAGTAAGGCAAGCGAGATGCTGGGTTGTATTAAAAGGGCAATAATGAGCCAAAATAGTGGGATAATCCTAACACTTTAAACATAACTGGTGTGACCGCACTTGGAATACTGCGTGCATTTCTAGTCACTGCAATATAAAAAGGATATTCCAGCGATTGAGGGAATGAAGGGACTGGAATACGAGGAGCGATTAGGTAAACTGGGCATCTTCACGCTGGAGAAGAGAAGGTTAAGAGCGATAAGAGGAGATTTAAGGTTAAGAGGACACGGCTTGCGATTGGAAGGGGGTAAATTTAGAAAAAATCTGTAAATGCTACTTCGGTGAGCGAGTAGTAAATTTATGGAATGGACTCCCTTGGGGGATGGTGGAAGCAGAAAGTGTTGTTTCAAGAAAAAATTAGAAAGAAAATAATATCTCAGGATACAGTATATAGTTGGGGACACAACATGTCAATTGACTGCTAAGATTGTGGAAGATGAACTGGACAGACCTTGGTCTTCTTTCGCCTAGCAAATTCTTATGTTCGTATGTCAATAATAATAATAATCCAAATAACCCAATTTTGTCTGGGAGAAAGACAATCCCTTGTCTTTTTTAATAGTGCAAAGACAGGATTCCGGTTTAACATCTCCTCTGACGTTGCAGCAGTCCCCCTTAGCACTGCACTGGAATCCACTTGGGACCCCAAGTTCTGATGTGGGGCTTGAACCCATAACCTTGTGACTCAAGAAGCGAATCCATGCCTGGCTGACATACAGACTGCATCAAATTTAAGTTGTATTGTATTGAATATGTAATAATAATAATTTGTCTTCATTTTCAATTTAGTTGTGGAACACCTTCCATGCAAAACACCTGGTGAAGGAGGCAATTCAGAAGACTCTGAAGGCCCTGAGACTAGACTATTTAGATCTGTATCTTATTCATTGGCCCCTGGGATTCCAGGTGAAGTATACTAGAAATGTAACTACCTTACAATACAATACAAATGTACATTTATATAGCTCCTTTCACATTGGGAGGACAACCTTGATCGATAGGCTTCAGCAGTTTTTTTTCGTTCAATTGTAAACAGTCAATTTCATTGGACTATTTTTGTTATAATAATAATCCTTGCATTTTGATATAGTGCTTTTTTACATCTTTGAAACGTCTCAAAGCCTTCACAGAATATACTCTAAAGTTAATTGGTGTACATTTGTGGCAGACAATTGTGCACAGCAGTAATATTGTTTGATTTCTGGACTTAGTAGTTTTGTGCAAGATTATATTTTTCTCTCAAATGTGGCATAACTAGAACACAACCTGAGCTCAACTTGAATTCATGCTATCTGTGCATTCTTCCTGAAAAAGAGTATTTCAAACACAATTTAAATGATTTGTTGAAGTCTAGGTATAGGCTTGACCTTGGAGAACAAAAGGTCAAAATGGACTGAAATAATTCCTGAATATTACTGTTACATGGAAATCTGAAAAGGCATCCAGGGATCCATAGTTCTCACTCTTACCTCCTCACCCTCCAGCCAGAGTCTCCCCACCTCCCACCCCCCACCACTTACCACAGGCCAGCGCACTGCCATATCGAGGGCCTCATATTCCAAGCCAGGGCCCCAACACCCGAGAACGCTTCATCCACTTGGGGATTCAACGTAAAGCTCCAACACTGGCTGCTCGTATATTGCAGTTGAGAATACTAATGACAATAACTTTCTTAATCTTATGGTTCTTTATAATCTCTTCAGTCTGGTGAATTGCAATTTCCACTTGATGAGAATAACAAAGTGATACCAAGTGATACCAGTTTTATTGATACCTGGGAGGTAAGTTGCAAGTTTTGTTTTGGACTTTTTTTGCAGTTCGGGGGAGGGTCCTTACCGCTCTAAACTATCTTTCTGTCCCTAGACCACAAAAATGCTTAAAGCAAAGGCGTTCCACTTTGCACAAAATCTCAAAACATACAGCGTATCTATAATAATATTCCTTGCATTTGATATAGCGCTTCATCACGTCTTCTAGACATCTGAAAGCTCTTCACAGAATATACTGTAAAGTGAATGTTTTGTGTGTTTTTTTGTGGGTGAAATCTACATTAATAACCCCAACAAAAGAAGCAGTGTCAATCCAAACAAGGTGACCGTGACATATGTTATCAGTCACAAGGAAAGAAGATGGTTTGGAGGCAGAATTGTTTAGTTGGAGTATCATGATGTCATTGTGAAGGGGATTGTGCACCAATGTCTGTTCCCAGACTATTTGTGACTGCCTCAAAGTTTGAATGTTTAGAGCCAGCAAAGGCATGATGAGCTGAACACTAACTTGCCTTTCCTGGTCTTATCATTTTGAAACATTTACAAAATCACTTTCCTATCATCTCAAGGCCATGGAAGAGTTGGTTGATACTGGAATGGTTAAAGCCATAGGAGTCTCCAATTTCAACCGCAGCCAGATTGAAAAGATCCTGAACAAACCAGGACTGAAGTACAAACCTGCGAACAACCAGGTATCATCTACACACTTGGCCTTGTTTATCTGTAGCATGTCCTTTTTAGAGTGTTAAATGTGTTTTGTCTTATTTTCATAGATTGAATGCCACCCATACCTGACTCAAGAGAAACTGATCGCCTATTGCTTTGAAAAACAAATCTCAGTGACTGCATACAGCCCACTTGGATCTCCAGACAGACCATGGTATTTGACAAACCTTTTATTTCTTTTCTCATGCCACTAAGTCTACTTATTATTCAGGATTTTATACAATGGATCGTTTCCTGATAATATATATATATAAGAGCATTATCTTCTAAGCTATGCAGCCTCTTCAGTTTATAATAATAATAATAATAATAATAATCCTTGCATTTGATATAGCGCTTTTCACGTCGGGAGGCCGTCCCAAAGCGCTTCACAGAATACACTGTAAAGTGAATTGACTGTATATTTGTGGGCGAACGCGGCAGCCAATTGCGCACAGCAATGTCCCACAAACAGTCGTAGATTGAAAATGACCAATTTAATTATTGTTTTTGTTTTTTGGAGGGATTATTATTAGGCGTGTGGAGTAAGGAAACTTGCCCAAGGTTTCGCCCTGCCTGGAATTGAACTCAGGTCTCTCACTTGCAAAGCGAGTGCTCTAACCACTGAGCTACAGGACTCCACTGTAATCAATAAAGTTTCTTGATTTAGTGTAATTTTCTGCCTCTGACCCTTGTAAACTTTAAATTTTATCAACTGGTCTGAATGCACAGATTACTTTTTTCTGTGGCATGGGCAACTGAGGCCCTAAATTTCACTTAGTCTTAGCCTTTCAAATCACTTAGACTTTTACAGAATTCTGCGTAGTCTCTAATTTTAAGACAAAATGGTCTGACCAGTTTAGGTAGACATTCAAACTTCAGGTACCTCCTTTGAACAATTGAAAGTGTCAGACATTTTTGAGGTAATGGGGCATGGAATCTTATATCTACAGATTCCACTCCCCATTTGAATTTGAGACAGTGGATTGGTCAGAGCTGAAGCTTGATTCCAGTGCTAGTTTCCACATTCCTAAAAATGGGGTAGTTTATGGTGCTGTATATTTGTATGGTTCTATGGGTATAAATCTGACAATTTTGGATTGCAACTTCTTTGGATTGAAGTCCTGTAGTCAGGATCATTTCATCCGGCCCGAGACCATTTCCAAATTCGGGCCACCCGCTCGCTCACTTCCCAGAGAATGGTCCTCTCATGGCAGCGGCAGGAGCTGGCAGTTGGGAGGACGCAGTGCGGGGAGTGGAAATAAATTCAGCTGTTGCTGCAGTCTATCAGGAAGCCAGTCCCGAGCTGAGAGGAAGGCAAGCGGGTTTCCTTATTCACTGCGTTTTTACCATCCGGCGGCTCCTGATGCTGAAGATAATGAGGCGTGCGACTGAGAGTGATTGAGAGAAGGGGAGAGAGAGTGATTGAGAGAGAGGCGGCGAGAGGGGGAAAGAGTGATTGAGAGAAAGAGTGTGAGAGGAGAGAGTTTGTGTGTAAGAGTGGGAGTGAGAGGTGAGAGAGGGGGGTGAGAGAGATTGACACAAGGGGAAAGAAGAGAGTATGAAGAAGGAGAGGCGGAGAGAAAGAAACAAAGGGGGAGAGAGCACAGAGAGAGAGAAAGTGATTTAGAGAGTAATTGAGAGGGAGAGAGGGGCAAAGAGTGATCGAGAAAGGGGGGAGAAATTGCGTGTGGGAGAGGGGTGAGAGTGATTGAGAAAGGGGGAGAGACAGAGTGAGAGGGGAGATATATAATAATCTTTGCATTTGATATATTAATAACACTTGATATTGTACCTTTCAATTCATCGAGACGTCTCAAAGCACATCACAGAATGTACTAAATGGAATGACTGCATTTTATGAGGGAAATACAGCACCTTTCTTGTGAGGGTATCATCTAGTGCAGGGGTGGATAATTATTTTGGCTGGTGGGCCACTTCACTAGTTTTGGTAAGCTTCGCGGGCCACACGCTTAATATAGATCCAAATGCTTAATAATAGCTCAAAATCAAATATTACACTTGTACATGAATAAAGTCTATAATTGACATTCATTAAAATTAGGTTAAATAAAAATTGATGAGAATGTGAGAAGCTCACTCAATGGGAAGAATGAAAGCGCTGATGTGTGTTAACCAGACAATTGAAAGTCAGGCATCGTCTCCGTTGTTGCAATGCGGAGTACTACTGCAAGGTGGTCATCAGTCATCACAGATCTGTTTTGAGTTATTGAATTTCATCACAGAAAACGTCTCTTCATATGTTGATCTAACCGGCACAAGCATCCTCTGGGCATGAGCCTTTATTTTTGGAAAGATATATTGATTAAGAGAGGCGTAAAAACTGGGAAGCGGCACTGATTTGAATTGCTCCACAAGCAATGGATCACATTGCAGATCAATAAGGTCAAGTTGGAGGTCAAATTGGAGTTGGAGGCCCAACATTTTTGCCTGTCAGATTTGGGCTTCCATCGGTGGTCACATTCACCAATTTTTTCCACTCCATTCCTAATTTTAAGATACTTATTTACTGCCTCCAAAAAGTCTTCTCCAGTTGTCCGCAAGCAATGGATCACATTGCAGGTCAATAAGCTTGAGTTGGAAGTCAAATGGGGCTTTGTCAACATCAAATGAGAAAGGTGAAGAGACCAAACACAGGTCATTTTCAATCAAATTGAAATCCTGGAATCGGCGAGAAAATTTGGCATGTAAATCAAGTAGTGACGAAGTATACTTTTTAAGGCTTTAATCCCAAACAGTAATCTGCTGCAAAGTTGGAAAGTCTTTCATTGACTGCATTGATGCCAATTCTTCTGTGAGCTCAAAATGTTTGATGATACCTCGAATAAAAATTATCAACTGGGCTGTGTCTTTGACACAACCACACACATTCCATCCTCTGCCCCCGCACTTCACCCTCTGCCCACACACCCCAACCCCACACCCCACACATATCCCAACCTCTGCCACACACACGCCAACCCAACGCCCCAATCTCTGCCCGCACATTCCTTGCCTACACCCCCCACCCTCTGCCCCCACACCGTCTGGCCCCCCACACCCTCTGCTGCACCCCACACCCTCTGCCCGTCCACACACCCCACCCTCTGCCCCCCCACACACTCCACCCCCACTGCCCATACAGCCTACCACCACCCACATCCCACCCGCTGCCCACACACACAAACCACCCTCTGCCCCCACACACACAACCCACCCTCTGCCCCCACACACACAACCCACCCTCTGCCCCCACACACCCATCCCACCCTCTGCCCCCCACACACCCATCCCACCCTCTGCCCCCACACACACATCCCACCCTCTGCCCCCACACAAATCCCACCCTCTGCCCCCACACACACAACCCACCCTCTGCCCCCACACAACCCACCCTCTGCCCCCACACACACATCCCACCCTCTGCCCCCACACAACCCACCCTCGGCCCCCACACATGCCACACCCACACACCACACTCTCTGCCTCCACACACGCCACCATCTGCCCCAATAAACCGCACCTCCTGCTCCCACACATGCCATGCCCACGCACACCGTTCCCACACAGCCCACACTGCCCACCCACACATCACACCCACACACATATCCCACCCTTTGCCCCCCACACACGCCAACCCCACAGACCCCACATTCTGCCCTCACACACACCCCCCACTCTCTGCCCCCACACACAACTCACCTACTGCCCATGCTCACCTCACTCCCACACCCCACATGTATTTCAGCCTCTGCCACACACACCCCACCCACACACCCCAATCTCTGCCACCACACACATCTCACCCTCTGCCCCCACACATATGCCACCATTTCCCCCCACACACGCCACCCTGCACATGCCACCCCCATTCACACCACCTCTGCCCTGCACAGCCCACCCTCTGCACCCACACACACCCCAACTTCTGCCTTCAAATACTCCACCGTTTACCCCCACACCCCACCATCTGCCCCCACACACCCCCACACAATCCAACCTCTGCCCCCACACATCCCACAATCTGCCCCAACACATGGCACCCCCACATATACCGCCCCCCACACATATCCCATCCTCTGCCCCCAAACATGCCACACCACACACTCTGCCCCCACACACGCCACCATTTGCCCCATTAAACTCCACCTCCTGCCCCCACACACTCTACCCCTACATACCCCACCATCTGCCCCCACACATCCACGCAGACCCCATTTACCTCCAAACACGCCGCCCCCCACACACGCCGCCCCCCCCACACACGCCATCCCACCCACACGCCGCCACCCCCACCCACACGCCGGCCCAACCCACACACACATTTCCCACCCTCTGTCCCCACACACCCTACCCCCAAACACCCCAACCTCTGCCCCCCACACACATCCCACCCTCTGCCCCACACACCCACAAACCCACCCTCTGCTCCCACACTCCTTGCCCATGCTCCACAAACTTTGCTCCACATCTTGCCCACATCCACAGATCCCATCCCCACACACCACTGACTGCCTCCACAAACCCCACCTTGTGTCCCCACACACAGCCCACCCCCAAACAGCACACCCCCACACATATCCCACCCTCTACCCTCAAAGACGCCACCCCTAAACGCCAACCCCATACACGACACGCTCTGCCCTGGACAGCCCTACCGCACCTACATACCCCATCCTCTGCCCCAACACACCCACGTACCCACACACATCCCACCCTCTGCCTCCACACACCCACACACATCCCACCCTCTGCATCCACACACCCACACACATCCCACCCTCTGCCTCCACAAACATCCCACCCTCTGCCTCCACACACCCACACACACACATCCCACCCCCTGCCTTCACACACATCCCACCCTCTGCCTCCACACACCCACACACATCCCACCCTCTTCCTCCACACACATCCCACCCTCTGCCTCCACACACTCACACACATCCCACCCTCTGCCTCCACACCCACACACATCCCACCCTCTGCGTCCACACATCCACACACATCCCACCCTCTGCCTCCACACCCACACACATCCCACCCTCTGCCTCGACACACCCACACACACCCCGCCCTCTGCCCACACACATCCCACTTTTTGCCCCCACACACCCACGCATACCCCAAACTCTGCACCCACACACCCCACTGACTGCCACCACAAACCCCACCATTTGCCTCACACAAGCTCTTCACCCACATACCGTCACACAACACCACCATCTTTTCCCCCCACACACCCACACACATCCCACCCTCTGCCTCCACACACATCCCACCCTCTGCCTCCACACACCCACACACATCCCACACACCCCACTCTGGCACCATGCACACCACCTCCACACAGCCCACTCCCATATATATCCCACCCTCTACCTCCACACACCTCACTCACTGCCGAGGCACATCCCACCATCCACACATATCACACCCTCTGCCCCACATACCCCACCCTCTGCTCCCACACACCAACAAACCCTACCCTCTGCCCCCACACCCTCTGCCCCCACATCCTTTGCTCCCACACACCCACAAACCCTACCCTCTGCCCCCACACCCTCTGCCCCCACACCCTCTGCTCCCACACACCCACAAACTCTACCCTCTGCCCCCCACACCCTACGATTTGCCCCCAAACTCACACCCTCTGCCCCCACACCCTCTGCTCCCACACCCACACATTCCACCCCCACACCCCACTCTCTGCCCCCACACCCACCCCACTCTCTGCCCCACATCTCGCCCACACAAACCCACCCCCACACACCCCTTTCCCACACACCCCACCACCACGCACCACAATCGGCACCCACACGCACCACTGTCTGCCCACAAACCCCACCATGTGCCCCCACACATTCCACCAACACACGACGTCCCTACCCAGCCCACCCCCACACATACCCCATCCTCTACCCCTACACATGGTACCCCTACACCTGCCACCTCCCCCACACGGCACATTCTGCCCTGCATAGCCCATCCTCTGCATCCATACACCCACACACATCCCACCCTCTGCCTCCACACACCCACACACATCCCACCCTCTGCCTCCACACACCCAGACACATCCCACCCTCTGCCGCCACGCACAACCCAACCTCTGCCCCCACACACCCCACCATCAGCCCTGCACAGCCCACCCAACACACTTCACCCCCACAGACCCCACCCTCCATGCCCACAACCTCTGCCACTCTGCAACCCCCCCACACACACACCATACACACACCTACACCCCTCTCCCACACACTACTCCCCACTCCCCTCGCTGACATGTTAAACTCTGACCTGGAAGTTGCTTTGAATGTGCTGGGGGTTGAAGCTCTTGGGAATGATGACCACGTTTCGTTGGAGTTGGTAATGCAGGGCCACCTGGGCACTGCTCTTGTTCCACCTTTTCCCCACAGACACCAGCAGTTCATCCTCCAGCAGCGGCGGCAGATTCATATTCACCCTGATGGGGGGAGCGTGATCTCAGACACACCAACACAGCGAGAGCCTGACCCCGAGACCCCCAGAGAGAGGGTGGCATTCAGGGTGGGAAGCCGGGCAGGGAGGAGGGTGGGGGGGGAGGCTGGCCAGGCAGGAGGGTGAGGGGAGACCGGGGAGGGCAGGAGGGTGGGGGGGAGGCTGGGCAGGCAGGAGGGTGGGGGGCAGGAGGCCGGGCAGGCAGGAGGGCGCGGGGAAGGCCGGGCAGGGAGGAGGGTGGGGGCGGAGGCCGGGCAGGCAGGAGGGTGAGGGGGAACGCTGGGCACCAGGAGGGTTGGGGGGGTTGGCTGGCCAGGCAGGAGGGTGAGGGGGAGGCCGGGCAGGCAGGAGGGTTGGGGGGGAGGCCGGGGAGAGCAGGAGGGTGGGGGGGGAGGCCGGGCAGGCAGGAGGGTAAGGGGAGGAGGCCGGGCAGGCAGGCAGGACGGTGAGTGGGGGAGGCTGGGCACCAGGAGGTTTGGGGGGGAGGACAGGCAGGCAGGAGGGTGGGGGGGACGCCGGCAGGCAGGAGGGTGGGGGGGGGGGGGAGGCCGGGCAGGCAGGATGTGGGGGGGGGGGAGGCAGGATGGTAGGGGGAGGCTGGGCAGGCAGGAGGGTGGGGGCCGGAGGCCGGGCAGGCAGGAGTTTGGTGGGGAGAGGCCAGGTAGGCAGGAGGCTGGGGTGGGGGGAGGCCGGGTAGGCAGGAGGTTGGTGAGGGAGAAGCCGGGCAGGCAGGAGCATGCGGGGTGGCCGGGCAGGCAGGAGGTTGGGGGGGAGAAGCCGGGCAGGCAGGAGGGTGGGGTGGGGAGGCCGGGCAGGCAGGAGGGTGGGGGGGGATGCCGGCAGCCAGGAGGGTGGGTGGAGGCCGGGCAGGCAGGAGGGTGGGGGAGGCCGGGCAGGCAGGAGGGTGGGTGGGGAGGCTGGGCACCAGGAGGGTTGGGGGGGAGGACGGGCAGGCAGGAGGGTGGTGGGGGGAGGCCGGGCAGGCAGGAGGGTGGGAGTGGATGCCGGGCAGGGAGGAGTGTGGGGGGGAGGCTGGGCAGGCAGGAGCGTGCGGGGAGGCCGGGCAGGCAGGAGGGTGGGGGGGGAGGCGGGCATGGCAGGAGGGTGGGGGGGGAGGCCGGGCATGGCAGGAGGGTGGGGGGGAGAAGCCGGGCAGGCAGGAAGGAAGGTTGGGGGAGTCCGGGCAGGTAGGAGGGTGGGGGGAGGCCGGCCAGGCGGGAGTGTGGGGGGGAGGCTGGGCAGGCAGGAGTTTGGTGGGGGGAGGCCGGGCAGGCAGGAGGGTGGGGGGAGGCTGGGCAGGCAGGAGCGTGCGGGGAGGCCGGGCAGGCAGGAGGGTGGGGGGGGGAGGCCGGGCATGGCAGGAGGGTGGGGGGGAGAAGCCGGGCAGGCAGGAAGGTGGGGTGGGGAGGCCGGGCAGGCAGGAGGGTGGGGAGGCCGGGCAGGCAGGAGGGTGGGGGGGGGGGGAGGCCGGGCAGGCAGGAGGGTGGAGGGGGAGAAGCCGGGCAGGCAGGAGGGTGGGGTGGGAGGCGGGCAGGGAGGAGGGTGAGGGGCGGAGGCTGGGCACCAGGAGTGTTGGGGCGGGAGGCTGGGCAGGCAGTAGGGTGGGGGGGGGGGGTGGAGACCGTGCAGGCAGGAGGGTGGGGGGGGGGAGACCGTGCAGGCAGGAGGGTGGGGCGGGAGGCTGGGCAGGCAGGAGGGCGGGGCGGGAGGCCGGGCAGGCAGGAGGGTGGGGGGAGGCCGGGCAGGCAGGAGGGTGGTGGTGGTGGGGTGCAGGCAGGAGGGGGGAGGCAGGACACACACCCTCCTCTCTCACAGCCTCTGTCCCGAGTTGTCTGAGGCTCTGTGTCTGGATTGGGAAGCCAGAGCCAGGCTGACGTCACCGTTCTGAACCCTCACAGAAGCCAATTACAGCTGATATCAGGTGACAGCTGCTCCTGCCTTAGGGGTTCAACCCCCACGTTGGGGAACACACACACATGTATACGTACACTCACATACTTGCACATGCACACACACATGTACACACATTGGCACGCACACACGTACAAACACACAGACACAAACGTACACATGTTCACACACTCACACGTGCTCGGATGCACATTCACAGTGCACACAGGCGGAGCCATGCACTCTGTGACTGTAACAGAGCTTGTGAGGGTTTGACTAACCACAGCTTGTCACGGCAGGTCCCCAGCGGGCTGTAGCCGACCAGCACAATGTCATGAGATTCACAGAATGTCTTCAGCTTGATTTGAGTGAAGTATGGGTGACACTCTACCTGATTGTGAGGGAGACAGAGACACACAGAGAGGAGTTTCCTGGGCAATGGGGCAGTGTTGGATGGGGGAGGGTAGAGCAGGGGCAGTGCTGGGTGAGGGTGGGGCAGTGCTGGGTAGGGGTGGGGTGGTGCTCTTGAATGCAGCTGTGCATTTTTTTAAAAAGTAGATTTTTAAATATAAAATATAAATATTGATATATGGAGAGAAATCTAGAAGAATCCGATGGATTTTTAACCATTGAGCGACACACACAGTGAATGTCCCAGTTTTAACCCTCTTTTGTGTATTAACCTCTTCCTCGCCCTGACTGGCTTGTGCTGGTGGGGGGTGGGGCAGTGCTAGTTGGGAGTGGGGTGGTGCTGGGTGGGGATGGGCGGTGCTGGGGTGCGCGGAGTGGTGCTGGGTGGGGGCAGAGTCGTCCTGGGTAGGGGTGGGGCAGTACCTGATTGGCCACAGGTTTGTGCTTCAGACCCGGTTTATTCAGAATCGCCTCCAGCTGTCGACGGTTGAAGTTTGAGACTCCGATAGACTTCACTAGTCCAGCGTCCTTGCAGGCCTCCATCGCCTGTAACCGCCACAGCCACCATCACTCTCATTCAATGCCACCCTCACCATCACTCTCACTGCCCTGTGCCACCCTCACCATCACTCTCACTGCCCCGTGCCACCCTCACCATCACTCACTGCCCCAATGCCACCCTCACCATAACTCTCACTGCCCTGTGCCACCCTCACTGTCAATCTCACAGTCTCACGCCAGCCTCTCTCTCACATCCCTGCTCCAATCACTGGTTATGTGTCGGCATGAGCTGATCACCGGTTGCCTGATCAGACCCCAGTGAGCAGTAAATTGTTGAGAAGCTTTGCTCACCTCCCAGGTAGCACACAGCTCAGTGCGGTAGTACCGAATGGCTCCATTCTCATCTTTGGGGTAATTGTCATCTCCAGGCTGAAAAACACAGAAACAAGTCATCTGTGTGGTAACAGACCCTCTCTTCCCCTCCCACCACACCACTCATAAACCAAATGAAAATACCAACACACTGTACAACGCTGGAATTACAGCCTGGCTCAACCGTCACGCTCACCTCCGAGTGACAAGAGAAAAACTCTTCTCTTTTCCAATAAGCGCAGGATCTTCAACGTCTACTTGATCAGTCATGGGACCTCAGTTACACAGGAACATAATGAACAGGAGCAGGCCATTCAGCCCCCAAGCCTGTTTCACCATTCTATTAGATTATGGTTTATGTGTACCTCAAATCCAATTGTATACAGTCACGCACTGCACACACATATTGTCACACGCTGTCATGCACTCCACTGTCACCCACTGTACAGTCACAAACTGTCACATAATAAACAGGAGCAGGCCATTCAGACCCTTAAGCCTGTTCCACAGTTCTATTAGATTATGGCTTATATGTACCTCAACTCCAATAATCATGTTTGCTCCACATCCCTTGCTACCTGACAAAAATCTGTCCACCTCAGTCTTGAAAATGTGAACGGATCCAGCATCCTCAGCCTTTTGGAGGAGCAAGTTCCAGATTCCCAATCCCCTGCTTCCTGATTTCACTCCTAAATGGCCCAGTTCTAATTTTAAGATGATGCCCCTTGTTCTGGATTCCCCCATTAGAAAAAATAGGTTCTCTATAGCTACCCTGTTGGTTTATCATCTCATCCGAAAGATGACGTCTCCAACAATGCTGTGCTCCACCCAGCACTGTGCTGGAGTGTCAGCCTGGACTGTGAGCTCAGAAGCCACGAAATGGGGCTTGAACCCACAATTTCTTGACTTAGAGGTGAGGATGTGAGAAGCGGAGCAGAGCTGAAACCAAGTGAAGGCAGGAGAGGAGTTGGTGAGACGCAAATAAACCGATCTCTGTGGTCTTGGTACTGGTACCTGAAAAGCCATGGGCAACTCGATAAGGTACAAGTCAATGTAGTCAAACTTTAACTTGGCCAGAGAACGTTCCAGCGTTGGCCGCACCAACTCGGGCGGGTGACACGTATTCCACAGCTGTAATCAGACTGCGAGGTTAGTGCAGTGCAGCAGCTAGAATGTAACACTTGTCACACATTCTCACACATTGTCATAAATCTTCACACACTGTTCACTGTCAGATTGTCACACTGTTTCCCCACAAGTATACGGTCAATTCACTTTACAGTATATTCTGTGAAGCGCTTTGAGACGTCTAGAAGACGTGAAAAGCGCTATATCAAATGCAAGGATTATTATTATATTGTCACACACTACACTCACACATTGTCACACACTACCTGGTCACATTGTCACACTACACACATTGTCACACACTACACGGTCACACATTGTCACACACTACATGGTCACACATTGTCACACACTACATGGTCACATTGTCACACTACACACATTGTCACACTACACACATTGTCACACACTACACGGTCACACATTGTCACACACATGGTTACACATTGTCACACTACGCTGTTACACATTGTAAGCTGTCATACACTTTTCAGTCACACACTATACAGTCACACACTGTACGCAGTCGCACTGCACACACACGCTGCACATACACATTGTCACACTGACACACTATCAAACAATCACTGGCAAGGCATTGTCACATACTGTGGCACACTCATACATCGTCACACTACACGGTCACACATTGTTACACTACACTATCACACATTGTCACTACATGGTCACACAATTGTACACACACACTCACACATTGTCACACACTACACTGCATACACAAACTACACTCACTGTCACATTGTCACACACTCACACATAGTCACACACTGTACTGCACACACAAACTACACTCACACATTGTCACACTAACACTACACTGTCACACACAGTCACACAAAATCACTGTCAAGGCATTGTCACATAGTGTTGAACATTCATACACTATCACTATCACACTGTCACACACTGATATACTTCCATACACTGTCACACACTACACACTGTACACTGTCAACATGTCACGCACTGTCACACAGTACACTACATTATCGCAAACTGTCAGAAACTTTCACCCAATGACACACACTGTCACACACTACACTGTTACACACTCACATATTGTCACACACTGTACACAGTCACACCTTACAATCACAAACTGTTACACATTGTCACACACTGTACGCTGGCAAACATTGTCACACACTACACTTACACTGCACACAGTCACACACTATATAGTCACACATTGTACACAGTCATACACTACACACACACATATTACACTGTCACCCACTGTACAGTCACACACTACACAGTCACACATTGTCACACACTGTACACCATCACACACTACACTTTCACACATTATCACCCACTCTCACCCACTACACTCACACATTGTCCCACACTGTACACATTCACAAATTGTCACACTACACTGTTGCACATTGTCACAATTGTACACTCATACATTGTCCTGCATTGTTACACATTGTCACACACTACACTCACATACTGTAATGCATTGTCACACAATACACACACATTGTCACATCTATGCAGTCACACTCACATTGTCACACTACACACACTGTCAGAAACCTTTGCACACTGTTGCACACTACACTCACTCAATTGCTGGACTGGGGGTCACTGTCAATGGGCTGGGCTTGGGGTCATTGTGCCAGTGGGCTGTGCTGGAGGTCACTGTGCCAGTGCGATGGGCTGGGGGTCACTGCGCCAGGGGGCTGGGATGGTGGTCACCATGCCAGTGAGCTGGGCTGGGGGTCACTGTGCCAGTGAGCTGGGCTGGGGGTCACTGTGCCAGTGAGCTGGGCTGGGGGTCACTGTGCCAGTGTGCTGGACTGGGGTTCACAGTGCCAGTGGGCTGGGGGTCACTGTGACAGTGGGCTGGAGGGTCACTGTGGGGAGGGGGTCACTGTGGGAGGGGGGGGAGGGGGGGGTTCACAGTGCTAGTGGGCTGGGGGTCACTGTGCCGATGGGCTGCTCTGGGCTGGAGATCACTGTGTCCGTGTGCTGGGCCGTGGGTCTCTGTGACGGGTTTGGGCTGGGGTTCACTCTGCCAGTAGGCTGGGGTGAATGTCGATGTGCCAGTGGGCTGGGCTGGATGTCACTGTGCCATTGGGCTGGGCTGGGTGTCACTGAGCCAATGCGTTGAGCTGGGGGTCACAGTGCCAGTGGGCTTGTGATCACTGTGTCAGTGGGCTGCTATGGGCTGGGGATCACTGTACCAGTGGGCTGGGCTGTGGGTCACTGTGCCAGTGGGCTGGGCTGGGGTTCACTCTGCCAGTAGGATGGGATGGGGGTCACTGTGTTTGCGCTGAGCTGGGGTCACTGTGCCAGTGGGCTGAGCTGTGAGTCGCTGTGCCAGTGGGCTGGGCTGGGGCTCACTGTGCCAGTGGGCTACTCCGGGCTGGGGATCACTGTGGCTGTCGGCTGGGCTGGTGTTCGCTCTGCCGTGGGCTGGGTTGTGGGTCAGTGTGTCAGTGTCAATGGGCTAGGCTGCGGATCACTGTACCAATGGGCTGTGCTGAGTCTCACTGACCAGTGGGCTGGTCTGGTGTCACTCTGCAGTTGGCTATGCTGGGGCTCACTGTGCCAGTGGGATGGGGCTCACTCTTTTATTGGGCTGGGCTAGGTGTCACTATGCCAGTGAGCTGGGCTGTAGTGCATTGTGCCAGTGGGCTGGGCTGGGGGTCACTGTGCCAGTTGGCTGGGATGTGGTTCACTGCGCTAGTGGGCTGGGGTTCACTATGCTAGTGGGCTGGGGCATCACAGAGCCATTGGGCTAGGCGTCACTGTGACAGTGAGCAGGGAGTCACAGTGCCAGTGGGCTTGGTTGTGGGTCACCGTGCCAGTGGGCTGGGTTCACTGTGCCTGTGGGCTGCTCTGGGCTGGGGCTCACTTTACCAGTGGGCTGCTCTGGTGTGGGGCTCACAGGGACAATGGGCTGGGGGTCACTGTGACAGTGGGTTGGGCTTCGCCGTGCCAGTGGGCTGGGGGTCATTGTGACAGTGGGCTGCTCTGGGCTGGGGATCACTGTTCCAGTGGGCTGGGCGCCACACTGCCAGTCAGCTGGGTGTCGCTGTGCCAGTGGGCTAACCTGGGCTGGGGGTCACAAGGCCAGTGGGCTGGGGTTCACTGTGACAGTGGGCTGGGGGTCACTGTGCCACTGGGCTCAGCTGGGGTTCACTGTGCCAGTGGGCTGGAGTGGGGCTCACTGTGCGAGTACTCTGGGCTGGGGGCCTCTGTACCAGTTGGGTGGGCTGGGGGTAGCTGTGCCAGTGGGCTGCTCTGGGCTGGGGATTACTGTGCCAGTGGAATGGGTTTGGTGTCATTTCGCCGCTGGGCTGCGAATCACTGCGCCAGTGGTCTGAACTGGGTGTCACTGCACCATTGGGCTGGCTGGAGGTCACTGTGCCAGTGGGCTGGAGTGGGGCTCACTGTGCGAGTACTCTGGGCTGGGGGCCTCTGTACCAGTTGGGTGGGCTGGGGGTAGCTGTGCCAGTGGGCTGCTCTGGGCTGGGGATTACTGTGCCAGTGGAATGGGTTTGGTGTCATTTCGCCGCTGGGCTGCGAATCACTGCGCCAGTGGTCTGAACTGGGTGTCACTGCACCATTGGGCTGGCTGGAGGTCACTGTGCCAGTGGGCTGGGCTGGGGGTCATTTCTCCATTGGGATTGGCTGGGGATAACTGTTCCAATGGGCTGCATTGAGTGTCACTGATCAGTGGATTGGGCTGGGGGTCACTGCGCCAGTGCGCTGGGCTTGGTGGCTCTGCGCCAGTGGGTTGGCTGGAGGTCACTGTACCAATTGGCTGGGCTTGGGGTTACTGCGCCAATAGGCTGGGCTGGGTGTCACTGCTCCAGTGGGCTGGGCTGGGTGTCACTGTGCCAGTGGGCTGGGGGTCACGGTACCTTTCCACAGTAAAAGATGTCTTTCCGCTCCACGATGCCATCTGCTATCTTCTCACGCACAGCCCTCCCCACCTCCGCCTCGTTGCCATATATCCAGGCCCCGTCGATGTGCCGGTAACCAATGTCAATCGCCTGCTTCACCGCCTCATAACACTCGAGCGCGGTGGTCTGTCAATCACACCACAGCCAGTGCCAATGGTTAGCACCAATTTCACCACATGCTTTGGGCAGTAGCTCACTCCCACAGTTATCTTGTTTACAGGTTTATCTAGTTTTCTAATCTAATATCTATCTAATTTATAAGGTTATCTGGTGCATCTAGTTTACGCAGCTTTATCAAGTTTGCAAGGTTGTTCAATGTATCCAGTGTACAAGGTTACCTAGTTTATCTCATTTACCTAATTTACAAGGTTACCTTATGTTTTTCTTGTGTATTGATTTATCCAGTTTACAGGGTTACCTAGTTTATCTCATTTACAGATTTATCTTGGTTAAAGTGTTGTTCCTTGAGCCACAGTACACAATGGTGCAACACGGCATTAAGGAAATGGGTGGCCTTGCTCGTCCCAATCCTGAGAGGAGTGAGGTGTTAGGGGGTAGATGGCCATGCCGAGTAAATTGTGAATGGCCAGAGCAGGTTCAGTGAGAGGGTACTTCTCCATAGGCTAGACGACGGTCAATGTCCAACTCACTGCTCAACCAAACACTCTATTGATCTGGCCTCAGTCAACACTGATTATTATTATTTATTATAATAATAACCTTAGATTTGAATCAGCACTTTAAAGTGCTATGACTGAATTGTATAGGCAAATTTGGCAGTCAATTTGCACACAGCAAAGTCCCACAATCACCTATGAAATGAGTGACCAATTTTATCTGGGGAACTTTTGGCCAGGACACTGGAAGCTAGAAACTCTCCTCTTTTTCCCAATAGTATTGCATATTCTTTAACATGCACCTGAACAGGCGGATGGGACCTCAGCTTAACATCGTATCCAAAAGCCTGGGTTTATTTACTACCAATCCTGGGACTGTTCCCCCCACCCCTACCATCCCTGCATCCCTGGCACCTGCTCCCAGTAACCGGGTAAATTGAGGTTCTTACTGTCCTGTTGGAGGAGTATGTTCCGAGCCCAATGATGGGGATGGTGTTCCCATCAGACAGAGGAATGCGGTGATTCTTGCTTGTCAGGTTCATCCTGTGCAGCTAAATTCACTCGGACTCTCTGCGAACTGCGAACCTAGACAGCGAGAGCTGAGCTGCTAAATACAAGCCAAACACTAGGGAACAGGCCAATCAGACAGAGGTACGCCCATCGAGTTCCCACCCCTACACGACACAGGCAGGTTAATCTTTCCAATATCCTTGAAAACGTGGTAGGGCACTATATCAAAAGCAAGGAATATTATTATTTATCATTAACATCCACGCTCACTTCCACTCTCTCACACACTACTTTTTGACTTTAGGTGTTTTATAGTAATACTAATAATCCTTGAATTTGCTATAGTGCAGAAATCTGTAGCACAGTCACAGTAAACGGGTATGAGACTGAGCCATTCCCCATCAGGTCTGGAGTAAGCCAGGGCTGTCCCTATCCCCCACCCTGTTTGTCTGCTTCATTGCACCCTTTGCACAGGCCATCAGGAGGGACAATAACAACAACAAAATTACATTTGTATAGCACCTTTCACGTCGGGAGGACGTCCCAAGGCACTGGATAGACAGAGTTACGGACACAAGCTGAGTGGGGGAGGGTGGAGGTCAGGGAAGGAAGCAGGGAGATCAAAAGCACGGTTGAAGAGGAGGGTCTTGAGGTGGGTCTTGAAGGTGGCGAGGGAGGGGGTGAGATGGAGGGACTGTGGGATTGAGTTCCAGATTGTGAGTGCAGAGTGGCCGATAGTGGGGCGAGCAAGGCGGGCGACGTGAAACAGGCCAGAGCCCACTGAGCGGAGACAACGGACTGGGTGGTAGAGGTTCACTGACAGCAAATTAAAACAAAAAAACAAAAAACTAAAAAAAATATTGAAAACACTGCGTGAGAAGATGATGTGGCAAGTGAAATGCGAGGACTATGACATGTGGGAGTTAATGGAGTATGCCCTGAGCGCGGGCGACTTCATCTGCAACAAGTGTCTGCAACTCAGGAAGCTCCAGCTGAGAGTAGCTGAGCTGGAAGCCAAGGTCCAGACACTGCGCTGCATCAGGGACAGTGAGAGGTTCTTGGACAGTATGTTGGAGGAAACCATCACTCCCCTGAGGCTCGGGAGATGCTTGCATCCATTTAATGCTCAGGGACAGGATGTTTTCATCAGTCCTGCAGATAATGGGACCCCTGAGAGAGGGGTGATCGAGCCTTGGTCTTCAAACTTGATCAACGGATGTGAGTATTTGATGGACCAGACACCTTAAGAGGTGGTCACCCCACCCCACACACCGAGGGTTTAGACGGAAAATGACTGGGTGACTGTCCGGCATGGTAGGAAGAGGGGACGGGCTGGGCATAATGTCCTCAATAGTGTAGCACTCTCAAACTAGTACTCTGTACTGAACATTGAGAGTGTGGGTATCTCCAGGGAGGACAGTATAAACAAATTGGTGGAATAGGGGGACATAGGTAACAGGAGTAATGCTGTTGTCATAGGGGATACAACAGTGAGAGGTATAGACCGACGTTTTTGTAATAGAAGATGGGAGTCAAGGATGGTATGTTGCAACTCCCTGGTGCAACAGTCTTAGACATCGCAGAAAGGGTGGATAAAATTCTTCAGGGGGAAGGAGAACATCCAGAAGTAGTGGTCCAGGTGGGGATCCATGATATTGGTAAAAAAAAAAGGGCTGAGACTCTACAGGGTCAATATCAAAAGCTGGGGAAGAATCGAACATCCAAGGTGGCAATCTCTGGATTGCTCCCTGTGCCTCGGGCAAATAAGTACCAGAATGGCAGGATCAAGCATATGAATGCTTGGCTGGAGAAATGGTCCAGAAAAGAGATCTTCAAGTTTTTGGATCATTGGGACCATTTCTGGCGCAGGTGGGACCTGTATCAAATGGATGGGTTACACCTAAACAGGGCTGGGGCGAATGTGCTTGCAGACAGGCTATCTAATGCTGTTAGGGAGGGTTTAAATTAGTTTTGAGGGGGGAAGGGAATGCAAAAGAACGAAGAACTAGAAAATGGAGAAATAAAACAGGGGGGAAGCGCAGAAGAGGTCAAGTCGGTCTTGGAGTGCATGTGCCTAAATGCACGGAGTTTAGCAAACAAGATTGGTGACCTGCAGGCTCAAGTGGTCATAGGGGATATGATGTAGTAGCAGTAACCGAAACTTGGCTCAAACAAGGACAGGAATGGGAGCTGAATATTCCTGGCTACAATGTATTCAGGAGAGATAGGGAAGGAAAAAAAGGAGGGTGTGTGGCAATGTTAGTCAAAGATACGGTTATAGCCGTGGAAAGGGTCGAGGTGTTGGAAGGCCCCAAAACGGAATCTATCTGGTTAGAGTTAAGGAACAAAAAAGGAGCTGTTACGCTGGTTGGGTTATACTACAGACCACCAAATAGTGGGAAGGAAATAGATGAGCAGATCTGCAAGCAGATCTCAGACAGATGCAAGGCCAATAGAGTCGTGATGATGGGGGACTTTAATTATCCCAACATAGACTGACAAAACAACAGCGCAAAGTGGAGTCCTGTAGCTCAGTGGTTAGAGCATTCGCTTTGCAAGTGAGAGACCTGAGTTCAATTCCAGGCAGGGCGAAACCTTGGGCAAGTTTCCTTACTCCACACGCCTAATAATAATCCCTCCAAAAACCAAAAACAATAATTAAATTGGTCATTTTCAATCTACGACTGTTTGTGGGACATTGCTGTGCGCAATTGGCTGCTGCGTTCGCCCACAAATATACAGTCAATTCACTTTACAGTGTGTTCTGTGAAGCGCTTTGGGACGTCCTCCCGACGTGAAAAGCGCTATATCAAATGCAAGGATTATTATATATATTATAAAGGGCAAGGAGGGGGAAATATTCCTAAAATGCATACAGAACAACTTTCTTGATCAGTACGTTTCCAGCCCAACAAGGAAGGAAGCAGTGCTAGATCTAGTTCTGGGGAATGAAGTAGGACAAGTGGAGCAGGTTTCAGTGGGAGAGCATCTGGGTAACAGTGATCATAGCATCATCAGATTCAAAGTGCATATGGAAAGAGACAAGAAACCATCTAAGGTAAAGATGTTCAACTGGAAGAGGGTAAATTTCAGTGAGTTAAAAAGGGACCTAGCCAAGGTGGACTGGAAAGAAAGATTGGCAGGTAAAGCAATTAAAGAGCAGCGGGAAGTCTTCAAGGATGAGATAGCTCAGGGACAATATAAATACATTCCCACAAAAGGGAAAAGCAGGGCTTCCAAACCTCCGTGGATGATGAAGGTAATTGTACCTAAATGAAGCAGAAAAAGGTGGTGTATGACAAATGTCAAACCCAAGATACAGAAGACAACCAAATCGAATTTAGGAAGTGCAGAAGAGGTTTGAAAAAAGGAAATAAGAGGGGCAAAAAGATTATACAAAAAAGGTTAGCGGATAACATTAAAGGGAATTCTAAAGTACTTTACAAACATATCAAGGAAAAAAGGTTAGTCAAAGGTAGGGTGGGACCAATTAAGGACCAAGGGGGAAATCTTATTGTGGAGGCAGAGGGCATGGCTGATGTACTGACTGAGTACTTTGCATCTGTCTTCACAAAATAAGTGGATGCACCAAATGCTGCAGTATCGGAGGAGAGGGTAGAGGAAATGCATAGGATAAGTATAAACAAAAAGGAAGTACTGAAAAGGTTGACTGCGCTGAAGGTAGACAAGTCGCCCTGTCCGGACGGGATGCAGCCAAGGGTACTATGGGAGGCACGAGTACAAATAGCAGAGACTTTGGCTACAATTTTTCAATCTTCGTTGGACACAGGAGTGGTGCCAGAGGACTGGAGAGTGGCCGATGTTACTCCCCTGTACAAAAAGGGACAGAAGGACGAAGCTGGGAACTACAGGCCAGTCAGCCTAACATCAGTAGTGGGGAAACTCCTGGAGACTATAATCTGGGACTGAATAAATCTTCACTTCGAAGAATATGGGTTAATTAGGGACAGCCAACATGGATTTGTTAAAGGCAAATCTTGTCTAACAAATCTAATAGAATTTTTCGATGAGGTAACGGAGAGGATGGATAAAGGTAAGTGCAGTTGATGTAGTTTATATGGACTTTTAAAAGGCAAAGTGTCACATGAAAGACGTGTAAGAAAGATAGACGCCCATGATATAAAAGGGACAGTGGCAGCATGGATCCAGAACTGGCTGGGAGACAGAAAGCAGAGAGTTGTGGTGAACGGCTGCTTTTCTGACTGGAGGGAAGTGTACAGTGGTGTCCTCCAGGGATCGGTATTAGGACCTCTGCTCTTCTTAATATACATAAATGATCTGGACTTGGGTATAGCAAGCACCATTTCCAAGTTTGCGGACGACACAAAGTTAGGTAGTGTGGTAGACAGTGAGAAGGATAGCAGCCAACTGCAGGAAGACATAGACAGAATGGTAAAATGGGCAGACACATGGCAGATGAGTTTCAATGTAGAGAAATGTGAGGTAATGCATTTTGGTAGAAAGAATGAGGGGAGGCAATATAGCCTGATAATACAATCTTAAGGGGGGGTGAAAGAACAGAGAGACCTGGGGGTGCAGGTAAATGAATCCTTGAAGGTGGCAGGACACGAGGGTTACGAGGAGATCTAATAGAGGTCTTCAAAATCATGAGGGGATTTGATAGGTTAGAAAGGGAAAAACTGTTTCCACTGGTGGGTGTGTTGGTGACTCCAGGTCACAGATTCAAAATAGTCTCTAAAAGAAGCTGAGGGGAGGTGAGAAGAATTTTTTTCACGCAGCGAGTTGTTCGAATCTGGAACGCATTGCCTGAAAGGGTGGTGGAGGCCGATTCGATAACTACTTTTAAAAATGCGGTGGACGGGTATTTGAGGAGGACAGGTTTGCAGGTTATGGGGAAAGGGCTGAGGAGTGGGATTGACATTAATTGCTCTTTTCAAAGAGCCGGTACAGACTCGATGGGCCGAATGGCCTCTTTTTGTACTATACAATTCTATGATTCTATGATTCTATATAAATCATTACTATTATTATCTACAATTATTTATATTTAAACAGGATAGAGAGTGTATGACAAACATAGTAACTGTGACATTGTGCATGTCTGTAAGTGTGTGTATCTCTGTGTCTATGAGCGTCTGTCAGTGTGTGTGTGTGTGTGTCAGCCTGCCTCAGTGTGTGTTAGCATCCGGCCCTTGAAGTCCAAAAGATTAGATCACCCTGTTCTGTTCTCCTTGTTCATTCTATCAAATCCCTTCATAATTTGGAAAATTTCTATTAAGTCTACCGTTAACCATCTCTGATCCAAGGAGAATAATCCTAGCTTCTTTAGCCTCTCCTGATAGCTGAAGTCCCTCATTCCTGGTAACGTCCCGGTAAATCTCCTTTGCACCCTCTCCAATGCCTTGATATTCTTTCTAAAATGTGGTGCCCAGAAATGAACACAGTACTCTAGCTGAGGCCTAACCAGTGTTTTACAAAGGTTTATCATAACTTCCTGACTTTTGTATTCTATGCCCCTATTTATAAAGCCTATAATAATAATAATAATAATAATAATCCCTGCATTTGATATAGCGCTTTTCATGTCTTCCAGACATCTGAAAGCTCTTCACAGAATATACTATAAAGTGAATTGACCGTATATAGTGGGCAAAAAGCAGCAGCTAATTGCGCACACCAGTGTCCCATAAACAATCGTGGATTGAAAATGACCAATTTATTATTGTTTTGTTATGGAGGGATTATTATTAGACGTGTGGAGTAAGGAAACTTGCCCAAGGTTTCGCCCTGCCTGTGTTAGATTATAGAAGTTATAGTCTAATAATAATGAACATTAAACAAATGTAGAATGGAGAAAGTACTGGCAGTCATGGGAAAGGACACATTTGGTTTTCTCTGTTTTTGAAAGAATGACAGGACAGCATCGGAAAAGGGCAGGGGGTCACCTCTTATCAGTAAATGACAACAAACCCACAGAGGTAACGGTCCAAGATACCGGTCGACTTAGCAATAAGTCACTAGGTTCTGACAGGGCCTGCCAACCGACAAAAGGCAACCCTTTGTCGGTTGGCAGAACCTTGTTCCGGACTCGCAGCACTCGGTCTTGACGTTGACGGTTGACTGCTCAAATAAGCGTGCTTCAAAGGTATTTTTGTTTGAATAAACTTGGCTTAACAGATTTTACCTAAATGGAATGCTGGGTGACCTTTTTGATATCTAACATTTGGCGCCCGAACAGGGACCCAGCAAAATAAATCTGTTAAGTCAACCTGGATAAACGTCAGAAGGATTTGACGGTGTGACTCGTGAGTCTGGAACGGTGAGGTTAAAATCGTCAGAAGGACTTGACGATATTAATCGAGCATCGACTCGTAAGTGGGTATAAATCGAGCATCGACTCGTAAGGGGGTATTAATCGTTTGTGTTAAAAATTGGAACCTAATTTGAAAACCATCAGAAGTGGAACCCGTTAGTAGATAAAGTAATTATAATGGGAACAGGCATCAGCCTATCGAAACCAACTTGGAGAAAGGGTATAACTATAGCACGAGTTTTCTTTAGTTACAAAACATTGTTTTGCTGGTAGTTGCGACCACTGAACCCCGAATAACCCACCTAAGAGAAACGGTTCAGGGAACTAGGCTCCACGGATCCGGTGTGATCTGTGTACAGGCAGGAACAGGGGTTAGTGAGGATCGGTAGAGTCGCAGACAAAAAGTGTAACTAAGAGATAAAAACTCGGGATAATTTTCTTTGTTGTTTGCCGTTATTGTTGGTTCTGGTTTTACTATCACTGGTAGTACTACTCCCAGGCAGTCTTAGAAGGACTCGCAATCATATTAACTAACTAAAGCGTTTAAAGAAACGGGAGATTTCACTTTGTGATTGAGTTCCTACAGATACTGACAATGGCTGGTTACACCATCTGGAGGTCGCTTTCCTTCCAGCGACTTCTTCTTGGACGACTTATACTTCGCTTACCCTCCCACCTACAAAGCCGGTCTTCACATTCAATTTCAGCTTGACCGTCTTGGGGGGCAGATGAGTGGACAAGTACAACCCAATCAATCATCTACTTCACAACAGCAGCCAATACCTACATAGAGGACAGGATCTACATTGGCAACTGCGCGGGTTTTTCTATGCGTCGGGTGTGGAAGAGCGTGCGGTGACGGAGTCGATAGGTAAACACTGATAGTTCAAGAAGGAGAAGTGATTGTATTAAGAATGTCATTGTTCCGATTTATTTTATGTAACATTTACTTTGACTATTCCAGTATTTCAGTAATGCTCGAAGCCAGTGGGCAAGGATAGAGAGAACATCCACTGAAATAATATTTCAAATTTCTGTGACCAAACTGTTGTTTATCATATATTATTGATAATGATGTGCTGTAATTACAGATGCTAATATTGGTTGAAAGGATTGATGTGGTGGCTGAGGTAAAAGAGAATCGTGAAGATTGTGATGGTGATGGCTGTGCTGTCAGCTTGACTCACTCGAGGTGGGGACTGGACCTTTCGCAAACCCAGAATTCTGGTTTGTCTTAAATTGTCCAAAAACGATATCGCAAAGACTCATGACTTGTTTGGCTGGAATAGAACTGATTCTATGGACTCCCAAGGACATTGGTAACATCAATACGTAAAGGTTGCCAAGAACAAAAGTATACCGACCTTGAAGGATGTTTTTAGCCCTACAATGAATGGTAAAAACAAGCTGTTGAAATGTCTCACTGCTGACTTGGCGACATGACTAAAAAGGTCTAAGTTTGGGAACAAAGAAGACAAGTCTAACCGATCTTAAGAAGGGATATTCTACAATCAACATTGATCGAACCACTTTTATCAAGTCGATTCCTAATCACAGCCATTGTATCAATCTGATTAATTAATTGCACTGAACTTTATTACTCATGTCATATGCTTTTGTGCTTGCCAAAGCCATCATTTTATTACGAATGAATGTGTCTTTATCTTATTTTTTTTGCTTTATTGGTCGCGGTGTATTTGTGAGACCTCATTTATTATCATTATTTTGGTCTTAAGGTGGGGACTGTTAGATTATAGACGTTGTAATCTAATAATAATGAACATTAAACAAATGTAGAATGGAGAAAGTACTGACAGTCATGGGAAAGGACACATCTGGTTTTCTCTGTTTTTGAAAGAATGACAGGACAGCTTTGGAAAAGGGCAGGGGGTCACCTCTTATCAGTAAATGACAACAAACCCACAGAGGTAACGGTCCAAGGTACCGGTCAAACAGACCCACAGAGGTAACGGTCCAAGGTCCCGGTCGACACAGGATCTCGACTTAGCAAAAAGTCACTAGATTCTGACAGGGCCTGTCAACCGACAAAAGGCAACCCTCAAGAATAGCAAGTAATGAGCAAGTTGCTTAAACTAGAGGATCTTGGCACCATCACGGGATACTGATAAGAAATAACCAGTCAGTTAAAAGGAATGTACTAATGATTCCACAAAACAAAATAACAAGCACCAGATACAGCCCTAAACTGATCAATCTCCTATCTTAGGCAGGACAAAGGGAAGACCTCATGGAGACTCAGTCAAGCTGGCACCAAGTCAAATGGTTGATTAACCTGAGTACGTGACTGTATCAGAAGTGGGTAGAGGGGCCCAAGGAAGGATGAGACGGTTGGTCGACAAACCACCGAATAAGGCTAGGTAAAATACAAAGTGATTGGATATGTAAATACTGGATGTAATGGCAAGTCAGGCGACTGACTATAAGTGGCCGAAAAAGAGAAGTGGGAAGCAGTCCGGAACGACGCCAACAGACGGTGATGGAAGATCGAAAGCCCAAATAACTGAATCAACTAAGAAAGAACCTTGTTCCGGACTCGCAGCACTCGGTCTTGACGTTGACGGTTGACTGCTGAAATAAGCGTGCTTCAAAGGTATCTTTGTTTGAATAAACTTGGCTTAACAGATTTTACCTAAATGGAATGCTGGGTGACCTTTTTGATATCTAACACCTGGAATTGAACTCAGGTGTGCCACTTGCAAGGCGAATGCTCTAACCACTGAGCTACAGGACTCCCCTTTGAAGGCCAATGCGGAGTGGACAGGAGATGTGTGGGAAGGGATTGGTTGGCAGGGATGGTGGGAATGTGGATGAGGGAGGAGAGGTTAGCCCTGGGGTCTGGGTCCGGGGTGGCTTGCGGCTTTAGTGGGGAATGGGGCGCATCAGCCTCCACGGCTGCACACTCAACCTCACTAAATCAGTCAGGAACTTGGGTGTCTTGTTTGACCCTGAACTGTCCTTTCTCCCCCACATCCGCGCCATGACCGGCACTGCCTACCACCAGCTCTGCAACATTTCCAAACTGCGCCATTGCCTCACTCCTTAGGCTGCCGAAACTCTTACCCATGTATTCATCACATCAAGGCTCAATTATGGGAATAATCCTCATCGGCCCTCCCAACTCTTCCCTTCACAAGGTGCAGATCATCCAAAACTCTGCAGCTCGTGTACTCTCGTGCACTAAGCTCCATGAACCCATCACTCCCACCCTCACCCAACTCCACTGGCTCCCCATCAACAACAACAACAACAAGATTCCATTTATTGAGCGCCTTAATAATAATAATCCTTGCATTTGATATAGCGCTTTTCACGTCGGGAGGACGTCCCAAGGCGCTGTACAGTTGGGTCAGGACCCGAGCAGGGGGGAAATGATCAGGGTGAGGGGAGGGAAGGGAGGGAGCGAGGAGGGGGTAGAGAGTCGAGAGGGGAGCTGAAGGCACGGTCAAAGAGAAAATCCCTCAGAGGATCGAATTTAAGATCCTTGTCCTCACTTTCAAGGCCATTCATGGCCTTGCCCCTCCTACCTCTCTGATCTGCTGACTCTCTACCAACCTCTCCACTCCCTCCATTCAGCGGGCTCCGACCTGCTCCATATCTCCTGCCCAACCCGCCCTAGCATCGGTGGCCGGACATTCAGCCTCTCTGCTCCCATACTCTGGAACTGCATCCCACAGTCCATTCACCTTGTTTCCTCCCTTACCTCCTTCAAGGCCGGTCTCAAGACTCTCCTCTTCGATCATGCCTTCAGTCGCCCTCTAACCTCTCTGCCTTCCCTCAGCCCTACCCCAACCCCATGCTCGGGTCCTGACCCCTGATTTTCCAGCGTCTTGGGACATCCTCCCGACGTGAAAGGTGCTCTATAAATGTAATTTTGTTGTTGTGGTGGTTGTTGTTGTATAATGCCTCTCCTCATTCTTCCTCCAAAATGCATCACTTCGCATTTCTCCATGTCAAACTTCATCTGCCACGTGTCTGCCCATTTTACCAGTCTGTCTATGTCCTCTTGGGGTCTGCTACTAATCTCCTCACCATTTACTACTTTTCCTAGCTTAGTATTATCTGCAAACTTGGAAATTGTACTCCCAATACTCAAGTGAACTCAGTGGTGTTCCCCAAGGGTCTCAATATCGCCCCCTGAAGGACACCATTGCACATTACCTGTTGTCAGAAAAACAACCATTCACCACAACTCTCTGCTTTCTGTCTCCCAGCCAGTTCTGTATCCATTCTGCCACTATTCCTTTACTACTGTGGGCTTCTATTTTGCTTACAAGTCTCTTATGGTCTGAAATGCACTTTAGGTCTGAAATGCTGTACTCTGTGCCTTGGGATGTCCTCCCGACGTGAAAGGTGCTATACAAATGTAATCTTGTTTATCAAACACCTCTTGAAAATCCATATAAACTACATCAACTGCACTACCTTCATCCACCCTCTCCGTTACTTCATCAAGAAATTCTATCAGGTTTGTTAGACATCATTTGCCTTTAACAAATCCGTGTTGGCTGTCCTTTATTAACCCATATTTTTCTGAGTGAAAATTTGTTTTGTCACGGATTATAGTCTCTAGAATTTTCCACATTACTGATGTTAGGCTGACTGGCCTGTAATTTCTGTGTTTATCCTTCTGCCCCTTTTTGTATAGGGGAGTAACATTTGCAACCCAGTTCGGAGTCCTGTAGCTCAGTGGTTAGAGCACTCGCTTTGCAAGCGAGAGACCTGAGTTCAATTCCAGGCAGGGCGAAACCTTGGGCAAGTTTCCTTACTCCACACGACAAATAATAATCCCTCCAAAAAAACAAAACAATAATAAATTGGTCATTTTCAATCCATGACTGTCTGTGGGACATTGTTGTGCGCAATTGGCTGCCGCGTTCGCCCACAAATATACAGTCAATTCACTTTACAGTAATTCTGTGAAGCGCTTTGGGACGTCTAGAAAGGATTATTATTATTATATCCATTTATATGATGGATATAACAATATTGCATCTTGAATCAGAACATAATTCTGGCATCTGGTGGATGATTCAATGAGAGCGCAGAATGGGTTTATGGACAGGCAGATGGTCCAATTAGAAGAGGCTGTTACAGTATTTTAGAGCCTATAGTGGATGTTATTTTTGTGATTCATATTCAAACGGTTATTTAAAAAAGTATCACTGTAACATTAAAGTATTGGAATTTTAGAGTTTTTTTCTTATCCTTGAAATTGGCAGAACAGTCTGGAAGTGTTTGCAGGCATTAAAAGGAAAGTTCCCCTATTGTTATAGAAATAATAATAATCATTACATTTGATTTAGTGCCTTATCATCCGGGCCAACAGAAAAGTGTGACAATATCTGCCAAAAATTGCAGGGGCTTTAGCAGATTTTGTGGGAAAATGTGGAGAAATTTACGATATATTCAAAAAAATTGCGGAGGGTTGGTTGGTGCTGTTGAGAGAAGCATTTTGTGAAACAACCCAAATTAAAACTATAAGCGTTTATTTCCTGAACATGTGGAGTTATTCCATACATTTTCAAAAATTTGCAGAGGGTTGGTTGGTTCTGTTGAGGGCTATGTTTAAAATATTAAAAATGTTAATTTAAATAGTACATCACTTACCAAGAATTGGTTGCAGCAGCTCAGTTTAGGCGACAGGTGCCAAGTGAAGCAGACTTGCCCCTCGTGCCACTTCCATGATCCCAACACTCTCCATACCATGCATCCACGACCGGAGCCGCTCCACCCACAGTAGCAGCGTCGAGCAAACAGCGCGAGAGGCCCAGGACCTAGCACACTGTGTGTACAGGTTTATAGCGGGGAGTAACACACTGTGTGTACAGGTTTATGGTGGGGCCTGGCTGTGTACAGGTTTATAGCGGGGCCTGGCACACTGTGTACAGGTTTATAGCGGGGCCTGGCACACTGTGTACAGGTTTATAGCGGGGCCTGGCACACTGTGTACAGGTTTATAGCAGGGACTAGTACACTGTATGTACAGGTTTATAGCGGGGCCTGGCACAGTATGTACAGGTTTATAGGAGCGCCTAGAATATTGTGTACAGGTTTATAGTGAGGACTAGTACACTGTATGTACAGGTTTGCAGCGGGGCCTGGTTCACTGTGAGTACAGGTTTATAGCAGCGCCTAGCACAATGTGTAAAGTTTACAATGGGGACTAGACTGCTGTATGTACAGATTTATAGCAAGCCTAGGACAATATATGTACAGGTTTATAGCAGGGCCCAGCACACTGTGTATACGGGTTTATAGTGGGGATTAACACACTGTGTATACAGGTTTATAGCGGGGCCGGGCACACTGTGTTCAGGTTTATAGCAGGAACGAGTACACTATGTGTACAGGTTTATAGCGGTGCCTGGCACACTGTGTACAGGTTTATAGTGGTGCCTGGCACACTGTGTACAGGTTTATAGTGGGGATGAGTACACTGTGTACAGGTTTATAGCGGGGATGAGTACACTGTGTACAGGTTTATAGTGGGGATGAGTACACTGTGTACAGGTTTATAGCGGGGCCTGGCACACTGTGCACAGGTTTATAGTGGGGATGAGTACACTGTGTACAGGTTTATAGTGGTGCCTGGCACACTGTGTACAGGTTTATAGTGGTGCCTGGCACACTGTGTACAGGTTTATAGTGGTGCCTGGCACACTGTGTACAGGTTTATAGCAGGGACTAACACACTGTATGTACAGGTTAATAGCGGGGCCCAGCACACTGTGTGTACAGGTTTATAGCGGGGCCGAGCACACTGTGTACAGGTTTATAGCGGGGCCGAGCACACTGTGTGTACAGGTTTATAGCAGGGACTAACACACTGGTATGTACAGGTTTATAGCAGTGCCCAGCACACTGTGTGTACAGGTTTATAGCGGGGCCGGGCACACTGTGTGTACAGGTTTATAGAGGGGCCCAGCACACTGTGTGTACAGGTTTATAGCGGGGCCGGGCACACTGTGTGTACAGGTTTATAGCGGGGCCCAGCACACTGTGTGTATGGGTTTATAGTGGGGATTAACACACTATGTGTACAGGTTTATAGCGGGGCCAGGCACACTGTGTGTACGGGTTTATAGCGGGGCCCAGCACACTGTGTGTATGGGTTTATAGTGGGGATTAACACACTATGTGTACAGGTTTATAGCGGGGCCAGGCACACTGTGTGTACGGGTTTATAGCGGGGCCTGGCACACTGTGTACAGGTTTATAGCAGGGACTAACTAATACACTGTGTGTACAGGTTTATAGCGGGCCCTGGCACAGTATGTACAGGTTTATAGGACACCTAGCATATTGTGTACAGGTTTAGTGAGGACTAGTACACTGTGTGCACAGGTTTGCAGCGGGGCCTGGCTCTGTGTATACAGGTTTATAGCAGCGCCTAGCACAGTGTGTAAACTTTATAGCGGGAACTAGACCACTGTGTGTACAGGTTTATAGCAGGCCTAGCACAATGTATGTACAGGTTTACAGCAGGGCCTGCACACTGTGTGTATAGATTTGTAGTGGAGGGGGTGTTTGTAGCAGAATCCGCAGAAAAAGGGTGTACACAGTTTTCGATTGACTCAGCTTATCACGTCGTGTTGATGTCTCAAAGTGCTTCACAGGATAAACTGTGATATCTAATTCTTGTCATATTGGTTTATTTAAAGTGTATACTGTTTAGATCAACAATGCTGTCCAGTGGTGAGGATACTCGCCTCACAAACAAGAGGACCCAGGTTCGATTCCCAGATAGGGCAGAACCTTAGGCAAGTTTCCTTACTCCACATGCCTCTGTTTATCTAGAATGTGAGCTCAAAGCTCATTCTTAAGTACTGTGATGGATGTCTGCATGTGTCAGACACTTTGACTGATCACAATGATAGGTTTCCGCATGTTGGGGGAGAGAATCATCTCAGGGAGAGAAAGAGCATGTTAGGGAGAAAGGAGAGAGATTATCTCAGGAGGAGAGAGAGCATCATGGGGGGTGGTGGCGCGGTGGGGTTGGGGAGAGAGAGAGAGAGAGCATCCCAGGTAGAGAGCATCACAGGGAAAGAGAGAGAGCATCTCAGGGAGAGAGGGGGCATCTCAGGGAGAGAGGGGGCATCTCAGGGAGAGAAAGACCAAGCATCTCAGGGAGAGAGAGCATCCCAGGGAGAGAGAGGGAGGGAGTGCATCTCAGGGAGAGAAAGTCAGAGCATCTCAGGGAGAGAGAGAGAGAGAGAGAGAGAGAGCATCTCAGGGAGAGAAAGAGAGAGCATCTCAGGGAGAGAGAGAGCATCTCAGGGAGAGAGAGAGAGCATCTCAGGGAGAGAGAGAGAGAGAGAGAGCATCTCAGGGAGAGAGAGAGAGCATCTCAGGGAGAGAGAGAGAGCATCTCAGGGAGAGAGAGAGAGCATCTCAGGGAGAGAGAGAGAGAGCATCTCAGGGAGAGAGAGAGCATCTCAGGGAGCGAGAGAGAGAGCATCTCAGGGAGAGAGAGAGAGCATCTCAGGCAGAGAGAGAGAGAGCATCTCAGGGAGAGAGAGAGAGCATCTCAGGGAGGGAGAGAGAGTATCTCAGGGAGAGAGAGAGAGAGAGAGAGAGAGCATCTCAGGGAGAGAGAGAGCATATCAGGGAGCGAGAGAGAGAGCATCTCAGGGAGAGAGAGAGAGAGAGAGCATCTCAGGGAGAGAGAGAGAGCATCTCAGGGAGAGAAAGAGAGAGCATCTCAGGGAGAGAGAGAGCATCTCAGGAAGAGAGAGAGAGTATCTCAGGGAGAGAGAGAGAGAGAGAGCATCTCAGGGAGAGAGAGAGAGAGAGAGAGAGAACATCTCAGAGAGAGAAAGAGCATCTCAGGGAGCGAGAGAGAGAGCATCTCAGGGAGAGAGAGAGAGCATCTCAGGGAGAGAGAGAGAGAGAAAGAGAGCATCTCAGGGAGAGAAAGAGAGAGCATCTCAGGGAGAGAGAGAGCATCTCAGGGAGAGAGAGAGCATCTCAGGGAGAGAGAGAGAGCATCTCAGGGAGAGAGAGAGAGAGCATCTCAGGGAGAGAGAGAGCATCTCAGGGAGAGAGAGAGTATCTCAGGGAGAGAGAGAGAGAGAGAGAGAGCATCTCAGGGAGAGAGAGAGAGAGCATCTCAGGGAGAGAGAGAGCATCTCAGGGAGAGAGAGAGAGAGCATCTCAGGGAGAGAGAGAGAGAGCATCTCAGGGAGAGAGAGAGAGTATCTCAGGGAGAGAGAGAGAGAGAGAGAGAGAGAGAGCATCTCAGGGAGAGAGAGAGAGAGAGAGAGCATCTCAGGGAGAGAGAGAGCATCTCAGGGAGAGAAAGAGAGAGCATCTCAGGGAGAGAGAGAGCATCTCAGGGAGAGAGAGAGCATCTCAGGGAGAGAGAGAGAGCATCTCAGGGAGAGAGAGAGAGAGCATCTCAGGGAGAGAGAGAGCATCTCAGGGAGAGAGAGAGAGAGCATCTCAGGGAGAGAGAGAGAGTATCTCAGGGAGAGAGAGAGAGAGAGAGAGAGAGAGCATCTCAGGGAGAGAGAGAGAGAGAGAGCATCTCAGGGAGAGAGAGAGCATCTCAGGGAGAGAAAGAGAGAGCATCTCAGGGAGAGAGAGAGCATCTCAGGGAGAGAGAGAGCATCTCAGGGAGAGAGAGAGAGCATCTCAGGGAGAGAGAGAGAGAGCATCTCAGGGAGAGAGAGAGCATCTCAGGGAGAGAGAGAGAGAGCATCTCAGGGAGAGAGAGAGAAAGAGAGAGCATCTCAGGGAGAGAGAGAGAGAGCATCTCAGGGAGAGAGAGAGAGAGCATCTCAGGGAGAGAGAGAGAGAGCATCTCAGGGAGAGAGAGAGAGAGAGCATCTCAGGGAGAGAGAGAGCATCTCAGGGAGAGAGGGAGAGAGCATCCCAGGGAGAGAGGGAGAGAGCATCCCAGGGAGAGAGAGAGATCTCAGGGAGAGAGAGAGAGAGAGAGAGAGAGCATCTCAGGGAGAGAGAGAGAGCATCTCAGGGAGAGAAAGAGCATCTCAGGGAGAGAGAGAGAGAGCATCTCAGGGAGAGAGAGAGAGCATCTCAGGGAGAGAGAGAGCATCTCAGGGAGAGAGAGAGAGCATCTCAGGGAGAGAGAGCATCTCAGGGAGAGAGAGGGCATCTCAGGGAGAGAGAGAGAGAGCATCTCAGGGAGAGAGAGAGAGAGCATCTCAGGGAGAGAGAGAGAGCATCTCAGGGAGAGAAAGAGCATCTCAGGGAGAGAGAGAGAGCATCTCAGGGAGAGAGAGAGAGAGCATCTCAGGGAGAGAGAGAGAGAGCATCTCAGGGAGAGAGAGGAAGAGAGAGGAGAGAGAACATCTCAGGGAGAAAGAGAAAGGGAGGGAGAGAGCATCTCACAGAGAGAGAGAATCTCAGAGAGAGAGAGAGCCCCGCGGTGAGCAGAGCCAGACTGGGCAGTGCGGAGGCTGAGAGCCGAGGCCGGTGGTCTGTGTCTGTGTCTGTGTGTGGGAGGGCAGGATGGCCGGCAGTGATGGGGGCACCCCCTGCACCCCGGGTGAATTCGAGAGCAAATACTACGAACACAATGGCGTGCGCCTGCCTCCCTTCTGCAGAGGTAAGATGGAAGAGATCGCCAATTTCCCCGTCAGGAGGGGCGACGTGTGGATTGTGACTTACCCCAAATCAGGTGAGAGGCAAAGGGGGCAGCGACTCCCACCCCCAGCATCCCTGTCCTCACCACAGCCCCCCCACCCCCAACATCCCTGTCCTCACCACAGCCCCCCCACCCCCAGCATCCCTGTCCTCACCACAGCCCCCCCACCCCCAACATCCCTGTCCTCACCACAGCCCCCCCACCCCCAGCATCCCTGTCCTCACCACAGCCCCCCCACCCCCAGCATCCCTGTCCTCACCACAGCCCAGGCTCCCCCCAGCCCAGCCCCTATCACAGGGGCAGTGCAGGGTCAGTGATAGGGTGTTGCTGTGGTGCTGGCGCAGTGATGGGGTGATGCTGGGGTGGGATTGGGGTGGTACAGTGATGGGGCTGGGGCAGTGATGGGGCTGGGGTGGTGCTGGGGCAGTGACGGGGTGGTACAGTGATGGGGCTGGGGCAGTGATGGGGCTGGGGTGGTGCTGGGGCAGTGACGGGGTGGTCCTGGGGCATTGATGGGGTGCTGATGGGGTAGTGCTTCGGCAGTACTGGAGCAGTAATGGGGTGTTGCTGAGGCAATGATTAAGTGGTGTTGGGGCAGTGCTGATGTGGTGCTGGGGCTGTGATGGGGTGTTGCTGGGGCAGTGTTGGGGTGCTGGGGCAATCATGGGGTGTTGCTGGGGCAGTGATGGATTGGTACTTGGGAAGTTCTGTCGGTGCTGGAGCATTGATGGGGAAATGCTGGAGTGGTGCTGGGGCAGTGTTGGGGTGCTGCTGGGTCACTGATGGGGCAGTGCTAGGGCAATGATTAGGTGTTGGTGGGACAGTGATGGGGTTGTGCTGGGGCAGTGCCGGGACAGTGATGGGTTGTTGATGGAATGGTGCTGAGGCAGTGATGGGAGTGGTGCTGGAGCAGTGATGGGGTAGTGATGGGGCAGTGCTGGGGATGGGGCAATTCTGGGCGGTGATGGGGCAGTGATGGGGTTGACCTGGGGCTGTGCTGGGGCGGTGATGGGGTGGTACTGGAGCAGAGATAGGGTCGTGCTGGAGCAGTGATGGGTTGGTGCTGAGCCAGTGCTGGGGTAGTGCTGGGGCAGTGCTGGGGTGGTGCTGAGGCAGGGATGGGGTGGTGCTGAGGCAGGGATGGGGTGGTGCTGGGCTTGTGCTGGCTCTGTGATGAGGCGGTGATGTGGGGGTACTCAGCCAGTGTCAGGGCGGTGCTGGGGCTGTAATGGGGTGGTTCTGTGGCAGTTCTGGTGATGCGGTGTTGCACCAGTGGTGTTGCACCAGTGATGTGTGGTGCTGAGACAGTGATGGGACAGTAATGAGGTGGAGCTGGGCCAGTGATGGGGCAGTGATGGGGAGGTAATGGGAAGATGATGGGGTGGTGCTTGGGTGGTGATGGAGCAGTGATAGGATGGTGCTGCCGTGGTTCTGGGCATTGCTAGGGCACTGGTGGGATGGTGCTGGGGAATTTTTAGGGCATGATGGGGTGTTACTTGGGCGCTGCTGGGTCGGTGTTGGGGTGGTACTGGTGTGGTGATAGGGCAGTGCTGGTGCAGTGGTGGGGTGGTGCTGGGGCGATCCTGGGACAGTGCTGGGGAGGTGCCGGTGCGGTGATGGGGCGTTGCTGGGATGGTGATGGGGTGGTTTTGTGGCAGTGCTGGGGCAGTGCTAATGTGGTGTAATTCTAGCTCTGTGTGTATGTGTGTTGGCAGGGACCAGCTTACTGCAGGAGGTGGTGTACCTGGTGAGCCAGGGCGCTGACCCTGATGAGATCGGAGTGATGAACATCGAGGAGCAGCTACCTGTGCTTGAGTACCCCCAGCCTGGGCTCGACATCATTAAGGTAACAGCACACACCCACAACGCCCAGCTTCACATCAGTACCCAGCTGCTACCCTCCGTCCCCTCACACAGCGTTTGTCCCATACACTCTCCTCTCTCTCACACCATCCTCATCTTTCTCTTACACAATCCTCATCTCTCTCTTTCACACACTGTCCTCATCTCTCTCTATCGCTGTCTCACTTTCACACCTTCCTCATCCCCCTCTCTCAACTCACACCTTCCTCTTCTCTTTCACATACTCACACCTCTCTCTCTCTCTCACTCACACACTCAGACCTTCCTCATCTCTCTGAAAGAATGATGTAGACCAGGCCCCGGGGGGGTGGGATGGTGGGGGAGGAGTGATGACGGATGTTAGGAGGTTTCGGAACCTCAGAGTGTCTAATGTTTCTGTTTCAGGAACTGACGTCTCCTCGCCTCATTAAGAGCCATTTACCATATCGCTTCCTGCCCACAGATCTGCACAATGGGGAGTCGAAGGTAAGGTCTGCCACATTGAACATCAAACCTTACCTCCACTATCCCAAAATCCAACTACTCCAAAACTTTGCTGCCTCTGAACTCTTGCTCTAAACTCTGTACCCCCATCACAGCAGTCCTCACCAGGCTAGACTGCCTCCGTATCACTGAAAGGATCCACTTCAGGATCCTCACACTTGATGACAAATCCCTTCACGTCATGGTACCCCCTACCTTTCTGGCCAGCTTTCTCCCCACTCCACGCCACCTCCACTCGGCTGGCTCTGGGCTCCTGCTTGTCCCCGCCACTCCCCCATCGTCAGCCATGTTTTCCGCCACTGCTCCCCTAAACTCTGGAACTCTCTCCCTCAATCTCTCCGCCTGCCCCTTCCCCATTTTCAAATCATAGGATTAGTATTATTATTTATTAGGGTCACCTGCCCACTCTCTCCAGCTGGGCGTCAGGTTCCACCACAGTTAAGTGCATCAAGACACTGCTCTATGTGAAGGGCGCTGTATAACTGCAAGTTGTTGTTGTTATTGTTGTTCGGTCAGACAACCATGTGAAGTGACAATGAGAACAAACTCTGTATTTGATCCAGCGTCTACATCAAAACATTTGTCTCAACTCAGCTGAGTCACTCACTTCTGAGCCAGAAGGCTGTAGCTTCAACCTCCATGTCAGGACTTGGAACTCATATAGTCCAGGCTGACACTCCACTGCAGTGCTGCGGGGGTAGCGCTGTATTGACAGAAGTGCAGTCTTTCAGATGGGACGTTAAACCAAGGTCCTGTCTGTCCTTGTATAGGCGAATGTTAAAGATCCCACGGGCTTTGAAAAAGAGAAGGGTGTTTCTCTCTCCCGGTGCCCTGGCCATCAATTCACCAGATAAAATTGATCCCTCACTTCATGGCTGCCTGCGGGATGTTGCTGTATGCAAATTGGCTGCTGCGTTCACCCATAAAAACACACAGTCACTATGCCCACAAGTAAATCCTTGAAGTATCATTCCCCAATATCAAATGCAAGGATTGTTATTATTATATCAGAATCTGTAATGACTGTTTTTAGGTGAACGCAGCAGCCAATTTGCGCATAATAATGTCCCACAAACAGCCATGGAGTGAGTGACCGATTTTATTTGGGGGATTGTCAGCCAGGAAATCAGGAAAGAGAAACTTCCTTCTCTTTTCCAATTAGACCATGCGCAGGATCTTTAAAGTCCAGCTGAACAGACAACAACAACAAATTACATTTGTATAACCCCCTTCACATCGGGAGGACATACCAAGGCTCTGGACAGTCAAGGATTTGGACCCGAGCAGGAGGTTGGGATCAGGGGAGCGGAAGATAAGGAAGGGTAGGGGTAGGAGGGTGGCTGAAGGCACTGTCGAAGAGGAGGGTCTTGAGACGTGCTTTGAATAAGGCAAGGGAGGGAGTAGGGATGATGGAATGGAGTTCCAAAGGGTGGAGGCAGAGAGGCTGAAAGCCTGATGGTCGGGCAGGCGGGGCGGGGGACATGAAGCCGGCTGGAGTCTGCTGAGCGTAGGGAGCGGACAGGTTGATATGGGTTTAGCAAGTCACAGAGATATGCCGTGGAGGCCTTAAGGTGAGGATGAAGATTTTGAACTCTATCCTCTGGGGGATGGGGAGTCAGTGGAGCCAGTCGAGGGTGGGGGTGATAGGTCATGGAGTCTGGTGCGGGAGTTTTGGATGATCTGCAGCTTGAAGAGTTGGGAAGACTGACAAGCAGGATGTTGGCGTAGTCAAGTCTAGATGTGATAAATGTGTGGAGGAGGATTTCAGAAGCCTGAGGGGTGAGGCAGTGTTGGAGCCAGACGATGTTTCAGAGGTGGGGAAAGGCAGAGCGTGTCATGGCATGCATGTTGGGTAGAAAGGACAGTTGAGAGTCAAACAAGATGCCAAGGTTCCAGACTGGCTCAGTGAGGTGGAGTGTGCATCCATGGATGGTGATTCTGCCAGTGCCTGAGGTGTGGAGGCACTGATGGGAGCCGATCAGGAGAACCTCGGTCTTGTTGGCGTTGAACTGTAGAAAGTTAGCTCCCATCCAGGACTTGAAGTCCAACAGAAATTCTGTTAGTTTTCTTGAAGTCGAGGGTTATGGAGGCAGAGAGATAGAGTTGCGTGTCATCTGCATACATGTGGAAGTTGACTCCATATCTGCGAATGATGCCACCAAGAGGGAACATGTACATGTTGAAGAGGAGAGGACTAAGGACAGAGCCCGGAGGAACACTGCACAAGATGGTGCGGGGACTGGAGGAGAAGTTGTTTGTGGAGACAAAGTGGAGACAGTGTGAAAGGTAGGATCTGAACCAGTCAAGGACAGAAGGTTGAGGTGACTGGAGATGCGGTGGAGGAGGATAGAGTCAATGGTGTCAAAGGCAGCAGAGAGCTCAAAGAAGATGAGGAGACAGAGGGAGCCTGGTCACAGATGGACAAAATATCATTTATTACTTTGACCAGGGCTGTTTCTGTGCTATGGGCAGCACAGAAACCCGATTGGAGGAATTTTCAGAGGGAGTGGCAGGAGAGGAAGGAGTAAAGCTGGGAAGCAACGACCTTGTTACAGGATCTTGCAAGGGAAAGGGAGGTTGGAGATGGGGCAGTAGTTGGAGATCAGGTATGTTTTTATGAGAATAGAATTGATGACAGCTGTTTTTAAGGGGGTGGGAACAGTGCCAGTGGACAAGGAGAGGTGATGATGTCTGTGAGAAGAGGGGCAAGGAGGTGGAGCTTGGAGGTAAGGAGAGGGGTAGGGATGGGGTCAATGGAGCAGGTGGACGGTTTTATATGGATATTAACGGGAGTGAGAGAGGATGGGGAGACAAGTTCGAACATGTGGAGGGAGGGATGGGTAGGGTCTGGTGTGTGAGGGGGATATGGGAGAGGGGAGCAGTTGGAAGGGCAGAGGCAGATCCCCTCAGTTTTGGTCTCGAGGAAGTCCAGCATCTCCTCGCAGTTGGGGTTGGCACAGATGGGAGCTTAGTTGAAAGTCTCATTTGACAATGAAGCGTTTCCCAAGCACTATATTGGAGCATCAGCATGGACTGTGAGCTCAATGTCAAGACGTGGAGTCTGAACCCACAACCTTCTGACTCAGAGGCAAGAGACTGAAACGACTGAGCCAGGCTGAATGATTGTATTTAATGAAGCAGAAAAGCTCATTCAGTGAAATGTAATGGAAGTTTTGCTAGGCTAATTGATTGATTGATGAGGTAGTAACAAGGATTATAGTCCAAGGATTATCATTGATTGTAAAAGGGGAGATTTGAAGGTTGTGTTTCACACACTGTATTAGACAATTGGAATTACGATTGAAGTTAAATTCTACACAGAAAGGGAACATGAAGAGCAGGGAATGGGATTAGAGTAGAGATCTCCAGGGGGAAGCGAGCAACATTCACAATGGGCAAAGAGCGGGGAATGGGATTAAAGAAGAGAGCTCCAGTGGGGTAGCAAGCACTAGCACACACACAATGGTTTACCTGAGCTCTTTTTGTGACTTGACCTGTCTCTGATTCCGCCAGGTGATATACATGGCCCGGAATCCTAAAGACCTGGTGGTGTCTTACTACCAGTTCCACCGTTCCTTACGGACGATGAGCTACAGAGGAACATTCCAGGATTTCTGCCGGAGGTTCATGAATGAAAAGCGTGAGTGAAGGAGCCTAGTGTTCCCGTGTCAATCTGAAACATCAGGTCAGATCCCTCGGGTGTTTGAGCCAGGGACTGAGGAACAAACATGCTGGGTCTCACTGTGATAACAATAAAAGCTATAGTTATCTCCGGGAGGGGGTGGGGGGAGGGGCAGTCTTAGGTGATGCACCTTGCACTGAGTCCTTCCTCTGTGCAGGTCTCCACACTATTCCAGAGCATTCTGATGACAGCATAGCCAGCCTGGCTCATCAGCAGAACTTTGAAGGGCAGAACAGTCACAGGGGGCAGGGAATCCTCCCACTTAGCTCCTGTTAACCCTGCAAGTAAAGGCCCTAACAGGTAGGGTGGTCCTAGCTGGACAAGCAGCAGGAAAGCTTGCCAGATAGCAATATCAATGGCAAGCTATGTGGTTTCAGCTGGTTAAACTGCAGCAGTTACCCCAACGCACACTCTGGGGACCCCAAGACTTGGCTCTCACTAACCTATGCTTAATACTCTCCCGAATTAAGCAGGCAGAGTTTCTCACTCCAGGGAGGGAGTGAATTCCATTCCAGACACAGGAAATTTCCATGTGTCGGTGGCAGACATGGAACTCTGGTTTTGAGACTCTTAAACATGGTGATTGATGGGATACTTGGCTGAACTAAACCAGAATAGCCACTAATTGGTCATTTGACATCCAACCAAGCTTTGTTTAAGCCAACACTAGGTGGATGGTATGTACCAAGAGCTCCCTACGAGCTTCTGGGTAGGCAACACAGCTCAACATGAAATGCGTGAGAGCATTACCACCATCTTCCTGTCCGCAGCTCAGGAATACGTCCTTTCCATTAGTAGTTGGAGGTGCGGAGCTTGAACAGCCGCTGCTTACCTCTCTGCAAACCAATCAAGGTCGATCCCAGGCACTTGGTGTACAAACTTGTGATCATGAACTCGGATTCCAGATAACGACTTCCAACAGCTGTCGCCTCAAGATAATTACACGACAAAGAAGATAATAATAATAAATAATAATCCTTGTATTTGATATAACACTTTTCACATCATTGAGACATCTCAAAGTGCTTCACGGAATATACTGTAAAGTGGAGTGATTGTATATTTTGTGAGAGAAATATGGCAGCCAGTTGCGCACAGCAGTGTCCCACAAACAGCCATGGAGTGAATGACTCATTTTATCTGGAAGATTGTCGGCCAGGACACCGGAAGAGAGAAACTCCCTTCTTCATTGAATAGCGCCGTGGGATCTTTAACATCCACCTAAACAGGCAGACAGGATCTTAACGTCTCACCCAAAGTACAGTACCTCCGATAATGCAACTCCCCCCACCACCCCCCCAGCACTGCATTGGAGTGTCAGACAATATGAGCTCAATCCCCCAACATGGGGCTTGATCCCACGACAACAACTTGCATTTAAATAGCGCCGCTCACACAGGGTAGCGTCTCAGAGCGCATGATCATGGCGGAGCACAATGCCGAGCCGGGAAAAGGTGACCGTAGGCACGGTTGAAGAGCAAGGCCTTCAGCTGAGACCTGAAGATGGGGAAGGAGAGGGCAAGGCAGAGGGGTGTAATTGTGGCCACCGAGGGTGGAACAGAGGGCACAAGAGACAAGCAGGATGCCGTAGCCAGTCGAGCGGAGAAGTGAGTAGTGGGTTGGGAGGGTAAAAAGGTTGGCGAGGATTTTAAGAGGAGTGTGAGGATCCTGAAAGTGATCCGTTCAATAATAGGGAACCAGTGGAGCTTGGCTAGAACCAGTGTGAGTGGGTATGGGGTTCAGTGTGGGTGAGTATGCGGAGTTTGTGGTCAGCTGGATGCTGTGCATCCTGGAGCTGAGGAGACCATGTGTGTCCAGGGCTCCCTCTGCCTCCTCGACCTCTCCGCTGCCTTTGACACCGTGGACCACTCAATCCTCCTCCACCGCCTCTCCTCCCACTTCAACCTTCAAGGTTCTGTCCTTGACTGGTTCAGGTTCTACCTTTCACACCGCCTCTACTTTGTCACGGCAATCGACTCCTCCTCCAGCCCCCGCACCGTCTTGTGCGGTGTTCCTCAGGGCTCTGTCCTCGGTCCTCTCCTCTTCACCCTCTACATGCTCCCCCTTGGTGTCATCATCTGCAGACATGAGGTAAGTTTCCACATTTATGCAGATGACACCCAACTCTACCTCTCTGCTTCCACCCTAAACTCCAGGACTTCTGGCGTCCTGACCGACTGCCTGTCCGACAATAAGTCCCGGATGAAGGCCAACTTTCTCCAACTTAACGTCAGTAAGACGGAGGCCCTCATGATTGGCTCGTCCAGCGCCTCTGCACCTCAGGTGCTGGCAGCCTCAGCCTCCACGGCTGTACACTCAACCTCACTAAGCCAGTCAGGACTCTGGGTATCTTGTTTGAGCCTGAACTGTCCTTTCTTCCCCACATCCGCGCCATGACCAGCACTGCCTACCACTACCTCCACAACATTGCCAGACTCCGCCACTCCCTCACCCCTCATGCTGCCAAAACCCTCACCCATTCGTCACATCAAGACTCGATTACGGGAACTCCCTCCTCATCGGCCTTCCCAACTCTTCCCTTCACAAGCTGCAGATCATCCAAAACTCTGCAGCTCGTGTACTCTCACCCACCAGGCTCTGTGACCCCATCACTCCCACCCTCGCCCGACTCCACTTGCTCCCCATACCCCAGAGGATTGAGTTCAAGATCCTTGTCCTCACCTTTAAGGCTATCCATGGCCTTGTCCCCTCTCACCCCCCTACCTGCTGACTCCCTACCAACCTGCCCGCTCCCTCCGTTCGCCTGCTCCATGTCTCCCGTCCAACCCGCCCTACAATCGGTGGCCCGGCTTTCAGCCTTTCTGCCCCCACAATCTGGAACTCCATTCCCACGGTCCCTTCAACTCGCTTCCTCCCTTGCCTTCTTCAAGGCCGGTCTCAAGACCCTTCTCTTCGACCATGCCTTTGGTCTCCCTCTCACCTCTCTGCCTTCCCTCACCCCTACACCACCCCTCCCCCATGCTCGGGCCCCGACACCTGACTGTTCAGCGCTTTGGGATGTCCTCCCGACATGAAAGGCACTCGATAAATGTAATTTTTTTTTGTTGTTGTTGAGGAGGGCATTTGAGTATTCAAGACGGGAGGTGACAAAGGCATGGATAAGTGTTTCGGCTGCATTTGTGGTAAGGAGGTTAGAAAAGTGGTTGTGGCCAGGGATAGGAAGGATTGCTGTGGGTCGAACCTGATGCCTAGGTTGCGCCTGACAGATAGGCCGGGGAGGTTGAGGGGGTCAGAGCCCCAGGACAGAAGATATTGACGGGAGCCAATGAGTATGGCTTCCATCTTGTCAACATTTAGTTGCAGGAAGTTTGTGCTCATCCACGCCCTAATGTCTGCCAGACAACCTGACAGAATATCGATGGACTTGGAGTCACAGCAGGAGGAGAAGTAGATTTGTGTGTCTTCCGCATACATATTGAAGTCTGCGGATGACATCGCCGAGAAGGAGAATGTAGATGAGGAAGAGGAGGGAGCGAGGATGGAGCCCTGGGGTACCCCACAGGTGATCAGGCGTGGGTGGAAGGAGAAACCGGATTGTAGAGTAGGACACAACCTTCTGACTCCGAGGCAAACTGACACGTTGGTACGGGAATCAGAGAATGATAGAATCTTACAAGCACAGAAGGAGGCCACTTGGCTCATCGTTCCTGTGCTGGCTCTTTGAAAGAGTTACCAACTAGTCCTCTATTCTTTCTCCATAAACTTGCAATCTTTTTTTCAGGTAAATATCTAATTTCCTTTCCAAAGTTATTGCTGAATCCGCTTCCACCACCCTTTCAGGCAGTGCATTCCAGGCTGTAATAACTCTCTTTGTAAAAAAAATTCTCATCTCTCTGGTTCTTTTGCTGATTATCCAAAATCTGTGTTCTCTGGTTACCGAACCACCTGCCAGTGGAAACAGTTCCTCCGTATTTACTCTATCAAAACCCCTCATAATTTTGAAAACCTCTATTAAATCTCCCCTTAACCTTTTCTGTTCTTAGGAGGATAATCCCAGCCTTGCTTGTCTCTCCACATAATTGAAGTCCCTCATCCTTAGTATCATTCTTGTAAATCTTCTCTGCACCCTCTCCAAGGCCCTGACATCCTTCCTAAAGTGTGGTGTCCAGAATTGGACACAATACTCCAGCTGAGGCCTAACCAGTGATTTATAAATGTTTAGCATAACTCCCTGGCTTTTATACTCTATGCCTTTATTTATAAAGCCAAGGATCCCATATGCTTTGTTAACACTTTGTCAACTGTCCTGTCACCTTCAAAGATTTGTGTATGTGAACCCCCAGGTCTTTCTGCTCCTGTACCCCCTTTAAAATTGTACCATGTGTTTATGTTGCCTTTCCTCATTCCTCCTCCCAAAATGCATTATCACAGAGTCATAGAATTATGCAGCACAGAAGGGGGACATTCAGCCCATCGTGTCTGTGCCAGTGCTTCACACTTCCCTGCATTAAATTCCACCTGCCATGTGTCTATCCATTTCACGAGTCTGTCTTTGTACTCCTGCAGTCTGCTACCACCCTCCTCACTGTTTACTACATTTCCAAGTTTTGTATCATCTGTGAACTTTAAAAATTTGCTCCCTATACCCAAGTTCAGGTCATTAATATATATTAAAAAGAACAGGTCCTGGGACAGATTTGCTGACATGTTGAGCTCCGTAATCACGGTCACCAGGTTTCTAATCAATTCATTTTGTAAAGCCCTTCTGCCGTTTATCGCGATTGTGAACTGGCACTGTGTGAAGCGGGGTTTAGCATGTATGTGTGATAGGTTCTGTGTGACACAGGGTTGTTTAGTGTGTGAGACAGGCACTGTGTAATGAGATGTTGTTGATTGTGTGTGTCTCACAACCAACGCAGCTGAAACCTTTGTCCACGCCTTCTTCACTTCCTAGCTGGACTATTCCAATGCTCTCCTCACTTGTCTCCCCAGTTTCAACATACACATAATCCATTTAATTCAAACCTCTGTCGCCCAGATACTCACCCGCACTAAACTGCATACCCCCATCATACCAGTCCTTCCCAGGCTCAATTGGCTCCCAATCACCAAACTAATCGATTTCAAGATCCTCTCCCTCATTTTCAAATTACTTAATACCCTCCCCACCTATCTGACCTGCTTACTCCCCACTCCACTACCCGCTGCCTCTGGCCTCCTATTTTTTCCTCATCCCCTCCACTATCAGTGGCCATACCTTCAGTCACTACATCTGAAACTCTGGAACGCTCTCCCTCAATTCCTCGGCCTTGCCCGCTTGCCTCACCACCTTCAAATCCCAGCTAAAGACCTTTCTTTTTGATCGTTCTTACGATCACGTCCCTCCTCCCTCTTGTTATCAGACTCTGCCACTGTGAAGCACTTCGGGACGCTATCCCACATGAAGGGCGCTATATAAATGCAAGTTGTTGTTGTTGTGGGACGGCCACTGTGTGACAGTGTTGTTTAGCCTGTGAGTGTTAGGCAATGTGTGACACAGGGTTTAATATGGGTATGTGTGACACAGGTTGTTTAGTGTGTGTGAGACAAGCACTGTGTGACATGGGTTGTTTGTGCTCTCTCTGTTTCACAGTGGGATACGGCTCATGGTTTGAGCATGTTCAGGAGTTCTGGGAGCATCGTATGGATTCCAATGTTCTCTTCCTGAAGTATGAGGATATGCACAAGGTATGTTGGCTGACTGCAGTGGCCATAGTCTGAGACTAGAGGTGGTTAGACAGTGGACGACTCGTCTCCCTGATAAAGGGATTCTTACAAAAGGCAGAGCCTTAAATTCAGGATTGTTAGAACTGAGGTCAGAACAGAGTATTGTGAGCTTGTGGAACACTTGGCCCTAGAAAGCTGTAAATAATAATAATAATAGTAGAAAGCTGTAAAGAAGGAATCAATAAGGATGTTTAAATAAGAGAGAAAGAGACTTGGGCAGTGGTCATATTAAGGGTACAAGAAAACTTTACTTTAGCCACAAATTAGTAACAAATTAGTGTGCACACAATTTAGATTTTAAACAATAGTTTCCTTTACTGTTCACTACTTTTCCTAGCTGAGTATCATCTGCAAACTTGGATATTGTACTCCCAAGTCCAGGTCATTTATATTGATCAAAACAAAAGTGGTCCCAATACTCACAAGAGTGAAGAACTTGAAGTCGATCTGTTTGGTGATGGGGAGTCAATAGATCCTGGTCAGAAGTGGTGAGATGTCGTGAGACCTTACCAGACTCAAACCGATGAACAGTAAAACAGCAAGATATCCAACTGGCAAAGTATCCAAACTGCAAATTATCCAACACAAACACAGAAGTGAAGAAAAGTCTCCAACTCGATTAGTTTGCTAATTTAAACCTAAACTCTAACCAATGTTAACTTTGTCCAGGTTATCTTAAAACGTTTTACCCTATGGGCTCCCAGCTTGATCAACTGATCACAATGCCTCGGGATATACGCCTGGCTGGCTTGCCAATTTGTAGACAAATACATTCTAAACGTACAATTTTCTGCTCCTTAACTCTAACCAAATAGATTCTGTTTTGGGACCCTCCAGCACATTGTCCCTTTCCACAGCCATAACCATGTCTTTAATCAATATTGCCACCTCCCTCCTTTTTTCCTTCCCTCTCCCTCCTGAATACATTGTAGCCAGGAATATTCAGCTCCCATTCCTGCCCTTTTTTTGAGCCAGGTCTGCATTATTGCATTTTACATCGTAACCGCATGCGGCAACTTGAGCCTGCAGGTCACCAAGCTTATTGGTCACACTCTGTGCACATGCACTCCAAGACCGACTGAGTCTGCTCTGCATTTCTCCCCCATCTTAACCCTCCTTTTTTTTTGGACTACTCCTTATTACATTGCAAGTTGTCTCTCCCAGTCCTCTATGTAGCTTGTTTGCCCTCTCGAATTTTACATCCTGATTCCCTTCCCCCCTCAGAATTAGTTTAAACCCTTCTTCATAGCACTAGTTAACCTCCCTGCAAGGACATTGGTCCCAGCCCTGTTCAGGTGTAACCCAACCCCCTTGTACAGGTCCCACCTGCCCCAGAACTGGTCCCAATGATCCAGGAACCTGAAGCCCTCCTTTCTGCACAATTTCTCAGCCTTGTGTTCATGTGTTTGATCCTGCTGTTTTGATGCTCACTTGCACATCAGTAATAGTCAGTAATGTTACCATCCTTGGGGTTTAGTGTATGTGTGTGCTTCTGTCCGTCTCGCCAGGAACTCTCCAGACCTTTTAATCTTTCCTTCACAATCCAGAGAATTCACAAACAGCAGTAAAAACTTTAGTCATTCTCCCACCCCCACTCAATCTACCCACCACCCCTCTTGATTCCAACACTCTTCTTCGTTACAAATACTTTACTGTACAGGGCCTTTGGATATCCTTCTGCCATGAAAGGCACTATTTAAATGCAATTTGTTGTTTTTTCACTTTCCCAACATCCTCATGCTCACCAAACTTTGCTTTCTCTGGTTTCTATGGTCGAGACTCCAGTGCTGGGAATAGAATGGTTGAGATCTCCACCACAAGGAATGGGAATGGGACGAGATCTCCAGCCTTGGGAATGGGGACAACAGAGATCTCCAGCATTGATTTCCAGGTCCAGGTGATGCTGGCTAAGATGGTCTTTCTCACCTTGTTCAGGACCTGCCGGGCGTGGTGCAGCTGCTGGCCCACTTCCTGGGGGTGACGTTCGACAAAGCTCAGATGGAGGCCATGGTGGAGCACTGCCACCAGCTGGTGGATCAGTGCTACAATACGGATGCTCTGCCCATCGGGAGAGGTGAGGGCAAGGGAGACGTTGGTGTTGGGGTAAACTCTGGGTAGAGAGCAGAGTGGGAAAACTCAGGTAGAGAGCAGTCTAAGTAAACTCTGGATAGACAGCAGTTTGGGGTAAATGCTGGATAGAGATCAGTTTGAGGTAAACTCTGCGTAGAGAGCAGTCTGAGGTAAACTCTGGCTAGAGAGCAGTCGAGATAAACTCTGGGAAGAGAGCAGTCTGGGTAAACTCGGGTAGAGAGCAGTCTGGGTAAATTCTGGGTAGAGAGCAGTCTGGGTAAATTCTGGGTAGAGAGCAGTCTGGGGTAAACACAGGTAGAGAGCAGTCTGGGTAAACTCATGGTAGAGAGCAGTGTGGGTAAACTCGTGGTAGAGAGCAGTCGAGGTAAACACATGTAGAGAGCAGTCGAGGTAAACTCTGGGTAGAGAGCAGTCGAGGTAAATTCTGGGTAGAGAGCAGTCGAGGTAAACTCTGGGTAGAGAGCAGTCGGGGTAAACTCTGGGTAGAGGGCAGTCGAGGTAAACTCTGGGTAGAGAGCAGTCGGGGTAAACTCTGGGTAGAGAGCAGTCGGGGTAAACTCTGGGTAGAGAGCAGTCTGGGGTAAACACATGTAGAGAGCAGTCGAGGTAAATTCTGGGTAGAGAGCAGTCGAGGTAAACTCTGGGTAGAGAGCAGTCGGGGTAAACTCTGGGTAGAGGGCAGTCGAGGTAAACTCTGGGTAGAGGGCAGTCGAGGTAAACTCTGGGTAGAGAGCAGTCGAGGTAAACTCTGGGTAGAGAGCAGTCGAGGTAAAGTCTGGGTAGAGAGCAGTCGGGGTAAACTCTGGGTAGAGGGCAGTCTGGGGTAGAGAGTAGTCTGGGTAAACTTTGGGTAGAGAGCAGTCGGGGTAAACGCGGGTAAAAAGCGATCTGGGTAAACTCGGTTAGAAAGCAGTCTGGATAGTCTCGGGTAGAGAGCAATCTAGGTAAATTCGGGTAGAGAGCAGTCCGGGTAAACTCGGTTAGAAAGCAGTTTGGGGTAAATTCGGGTAGACAGCCGCCTGGGGTAAACTTGGGTGGAGAGCAGTCTGGGGTAAACTTGGTTGGAGAGCTGTCTGGGATAAACTCGGTAGAGAGCAGTCTTGGGTCAAACCAGCATGGAGACGACTCTGGCGTAGAGAGCAGTGTGGGTAAACTCGTGGTAGAGAGCAGTATGGGTAAACTCGTGGTAGAGAGCAGTGTGGATTAAACTCATGGTAGAGAGGAGTGTGGGTAAACTCGTGGTAGAGAGCAGTGTGGGTTAAACTCATGGTAGAGACGAGTGTGGGAAAACTCGTGGTAGAGAGCAGTCTGTGGTAAACTCTGTGCAGAGAGCAGTCTGGGTAAACACGGGTAAAGAGCAGTCTGGATAAACATAAGTAGAGAGCAGTCTGGGTAGGGAGCATTCTGGATAAACTCTGGGTAGAGGGCAGTCTGGGGTAGCGAGCAGTCTGAGTAAACTCTAGGTAGAGAGCATTCTGGATAAATTCTGGATGAGGGCAATCTGGGCCGAGTTAGGTGGAGGGGAAGAAGTTGACCAAAGGTGTGGTCGAAAAGAAAGATCTTTAGTCGAGACCTGAAAATAGGAAAATAGGAAAAGAGGAGACGAGGCGAAGGGAGTGAGGAAGGGAGTGCCAGTGCCTCAGGGCATAGTGGCTGAAGACACGGCTGCCGATGCTGGAGCGGAAGATTCGGGGGTCAAGGAGAAGGCCAGACAACGGGTACTGTTGTGAGGAGAGAGGAGGTCAGGGAGGTAGGGTGGTGCAGAGGAGTGGAGGGATTTGAAGACGATGCGTCGGAAGTGGAAGAAAGCGGTGTTGGTGAGGGACCGGATGTGGGAGAGGAAGTATAATTGGGGGTCGAACCTGATGCCTAGGTTGCGTACGGATTCGGAGAGTTTTTCACGTGGGGAGGACGTCCCAAGGCACTGGATTTGATATAGTGCTTTTCACATCTTCTAGATATTAGGTGGAGGAGGTGAGACCCGTGCGATTTAAGACATTGACGAGAGCCAAAGAGTACGGCTTCCGTCTTGTCAACATTTAGCTGAAGGAAATTCGCACCCATCCAGCTCCTGATGTCTGACAGGCAGGCTGACAGAACATCAGGGGACTGGGGTGGGGGGGTGGGGGTGGTCGCAAAGTGAGGTGAAAAAATAGAGTTGGCTGTCATCTGCATACATGTGGAAGTGTACCCCATGTCTGCGGATGACATCCCCAAGAGGGAGCATATAGATTAGAAAGAGGTGGAGGCCAAGGATGGATCCTTGGGGTACCCCGCAGGCAACCAGGTGAGAGTGGGCGGAAAAGCCATTTGTGGAGATGTACTGCTGGCGGTGCATGAGGTAGGACTCGAACCAGGTGAGCGCGGTCCCACTGAGGTGGATGACGGAGGAGAGGCAGTGGAGGAGGATGGATGATCGATTGTGTCGAACGTGGCGGAGAGGTCCAGGAGGACAAGGAGGCAGAGGGAGCCCTGGTCACAAATAGAGAGGATGTCGTTTGAGACTTTCACAAATGCAGTCTCTGTACCGTAGGCAGGACGGAAACCAGACTGGAGGGGTTCGAAGAGGGAGTGGGAGGAGAGGTGTGCGCGAAGTTGGTTGGCAACAACACATTCTAGGACTTTTGCAAGGAGGGGCAGGTTTGAAATAGGACAGTAGTGTCTGCGGTTTGAGGGATCTAGGGAAGGTTTCTTGAGTGGGTGATGACAGCAGTTTTGAGGGTGGCAGGGACTGATCCGGAGGAGAGGGACTGGTTGATGATGTCAGCCAGTAGTGGGCATAGGAGGGGGAGCTGTGTGACCAGCAATTTGCTGGGGAGGGGGTCAAGGCAGCAGGTGGTGCGTTTCATTGAGGTGATGGTGGATGAGAGGGAGGAAGGAGAGATGGGGAGGAAGGAATGTAGAATGGGGGTCGTGGTAGGAGCTGATAATGGGGAGGGTGAGGGGCTTTGAAGGGGGTGGTGGTGGGTGACAAGAGGCAGCAGGATGAGGCTGCCTGGCGGATATTATTTATTTTGGTTGAAAAGAAGTCCATGACCTTTGATGTGAAGATTGAGGAGGCCTGAGGGGGCGCATGAAGCAGGTAGTGGATGGTGGGGAAAAAGGACTTTCGAATGGTTTTTTACCTCCAAGATGATGTTGGAGTAGAAGGCCGTTTTCACACGCATCAAAGAACAGCGGTAGCTGTGGAAATGCTCAAGCCACAGTTCGTGCTGGACTGTCAGGCCAGTTTTCTGCCATCGGTGCTTGAGTAGCCAGTTTGGGGTTTTAAGGGAGTGGAGATGGTTGTTGTACCAAGGGGATCGGGTGGGTTTGGAGATGGTCCTGGATTTCAGGGGAATGAGAGAGTTGAAGGTGGAGGAGAGGCCATCATGGAGCAGCTGGACGGCTGCTTAAGGATCTCTATGGGTGGAAGGCCCGAGGGATACGATATTGGAGGATGTGAGGGCCTTTGTGAGGGTCTCAGGGGTTAGTCTTTTCCACAGGTGGTAGAGTATGGTTGAGGGCTTGATGGAGGAGAGAGGGATGTGAGAGGAGAAAGAGATGAGGAAGTTGTCCGAGATGGCATTGTCCATTATGCTTAGGTCGGAAATGTCAAGGCAGTGGGTCATGACGAGGTCGAGGGCATGGCCACGGTTGTGAGTGAATTAATGTGAAGGGTGACATTTAGGGAGGAGAGGAGGGCAGTGAAGTAGGAAGATGTGGTGCAAGGGGCATTTAGGTGAACTCTGGGTAGAGAGTAGTCTGGAGTCCTGTAGCTCAGTGGTTAGAGCACTCGCTTTGCAAGTGAGAGACCTGAGTTCAATTCCAGGCAGAGGGCGAAACCTTGGGCAAGTTTCCTTACTCCACACAGAGCCTAATAATAATCCCTCCAAAACCAAAAACAATAATATATTGGTCATTTTCAATCTACGACTGTTTGTGGGACATTGCTGTGCGCAATTGGCTATCGCGTTCGCCCACAAATATACAGTCAATTCACTTTACAGTGTGTTCTGTGAAGCGCTTTGGGACGTCCTCCCGACGTGAAAAGCGCTATATCAAATTCAAGGATTATTATTATTATTAAACTGGGTAGAGAGCAGTCTGTGTAAACTCAGGTAGAGAGCAGTCTGGAGTAAACACAGCTGGAAAGCCGTCTTGGTAAACTCCGGGAAGACAGCATTCTGGGCAGAGGGCAGTCTGGGATAGAGAGCATTCTGGGTAAGCTCTGGGTAGAGGACAGTCTGGGGAAGATAGCAGTCTGAGTAAACACTCGGTAGATAGAAGTCAGAGTAAACTCTTGATAGAGAGCAGTCTGGCATAAACTATGGGTAGCGAGCAGTCTGGGTAAACTCTGGGTAGAGAGCAGTCTAGGGTAGAGAGCAGTCTGGGTAAGCTCTGGGTAGAGAGCAGTCTGGGTAAGCTCTGGGTAGAGAGCAGTCTGGGTAAACTCTGGGTAGAGAGCAGTCTGGGTAAACTGGTTAGAGAGCAGTCTGGGTAAATTATGTGTAGAAAGCAATTTGGTGTAAATTCTGGGTAGCGAGCAGATTGGAGTAAACTCTGGTAGAGGGCAGTCTGGGCAAACTCGAGTAGAGAGCAGTCTGGGGTTTACTCGGGTAGAGAGCAGTCTGGGGTTTACTCGGGTAGAGAACAGTCTGGGTAAACTCAGATAGAGTGCTGTCTGGAGTAAACTTTAGATAGGGAGCAGCCTATGTAAACTTTGAGTAGAAAGCAATTTGGGGAAAACTCTGGGTGGAGAGCAGTCTGGGTAAACTCTGGGTGGAGAGCAGTCTGGGTAAACTCTGGGTAGAGAGCAGTCTGGGTAAACTCTGGGTAGAGAGCAGTCTGGGTAAACTGAGAAACCAATTTGAGTAAAACTATGGGAAGAGAGCAGTCTTTGTAAACTCAGGTAGAGAGCACTCTGGGTAAACTCGGGTAGAGAACACTCTGGATAAACTTGGGTAGAGTGCTGTCTGCAGTAAACTTTAGGTAGGGAGCAGC